TGCGCTGAGTGAAGGACGAAGGTGTTGTAGCTTTACTTTTGCTGTCAGATGAGAAGTTCACACTGAAATTCTCGTCAAATAACTCTGGTAAAAACTATTTTACGGGATAAGGAATCTGTAAACTTTGAATACCGAACCACTCCAGGACATACCAAACCACTCCAGGACATACCAACCCTATCTAGCATACTTCAACATAAGCTTACTTCCAGCTTGTACAGTGGATTGGGCTGTGGTACATTTTTACAGTGGTACATGTAATTATCTCCCTGTCAACAGCAACACTCTGTGTTTAGAACTCTTAATGGTGAGAGAGAGAGAGAGAGAGAGAGAGAGAGAGAGAGAGAGAGAGAGAGAGAGAGAGAGAGAGAGAGAGAGAGAGAGAGAGACCCGCCACCTATGTGGGGCTCACTTTTATACTACAACCAACATTCCACCTCGGCCCTGTTCGTGCTAGGGAAGGGTTTTAAAGGGCGGTGAAACTAGGGCTCAGAGAGGTTTTAACGCTGGACTAAAACTGTTAGTTCGGTGTAAAACTGACGTGCGGGTGAGAGGTTGTTAAATTTGGGCACCATGTATGGTTTCTGTATATATTATTGCAACGAGTCGTGGAGAGAGAGAGAGAAAGAATGTTTGGAACGTTCGAGAAGAATATTGAGTATGTGTGTCCTCCGGGGCGTGGGTTCGTATCCCACCGTGGCCTTCAGATATAGAAAACTAAGTTCCTAGGGTTTAGTGTATGCTATATCTACATTGAGAGTGTGCGTGTGTGTGTAGACTGTAGGTGCTGTGTGAAGTAAGACTGTGCTGTGCTGTAGTTGATGTGCAAGTGTTACTAGATTGTTACTAGCAGAGTGTTATTATACTGATAGTTGGATAATATCCGGTTGGAAGAAGCGTGAAATGAATATTATGCTACATTTTACTGTAGACTTATCAATGATTGATTATTCGTGTGTCTTTAACATTGCCATGAACGGTCTATTTAAAAGTCTGATGAATCGTCCATGGTGGAGATGTGAGTTTTCTAGTTTCTGGAATTAGAGTGTTAGCAAAGTGCAGTGAATATTATGCTCTGTTATACACATTTCTGAAGAATATGCTAGCTGTGTGCTTTCTTGGATTCCTATAAACAGTAAAATTCAATGAATATGAGAAATAATTGTTTGACTCATCTTGAATCAATATCCTGTGCCAAAACAGACATGTTTCAAATTTCCGTGTAACGGAGACTGAAGGGAACTAGAAGTTCTTCACAAATGGAGCTTTAAAAAACGGTTACCTGGTAACCTGGTCACCCTACACAATGTGCAAATCCACCCTGTTTCACAATATTCTGTAAATCTATAAAAGTATAAAGATATCAGTTGAAAAGCTGCTACTCACTCATTTGCTTCCTTGTCTTATCATGAGATTAGCATAGTTACTGAGTGGTAAAGTGTATTAAGTGACGTGTGTAAGTGTGGGTGACCTGTGTAAGTGTCGTTTGTTTGATGTAAAGAGATTATTTCACACGATTATAAAGTAAAAACTCGATTTACCACAGAGTTTGGGGAAAGAAAGCAGCCGCGTTTAATCGGGGTTTTGATTGTTCACAATATATCTTATTATCTTAAGTCCTCAATTAGGGGAAGGGAATGGCCGCGGTAAATCACTATAATACCTAAAATGTACACAATACACATCGTATGACAGACAGTGACACATCTGTGATCATGAAAAATATAAAGCAGCCAGGAATTAATAATGTCATGAGTCGTGTTTTCAGCTTTTCGGAATGAGAATTCAGAATTTACGGCACGGTATATTACACTGGTCTTTATTATATTTCTCGTGGTTGAATTTTAGCCATTTTATATTTTGCACTGTGCTACTGCCTAAGAAAAGAAAATTTTATTTTATTCTTAAGCCCACAATCCCGAGAGAGCGCATGAGTGTAAAATGACCATAAATCGGAACAAAAGCTTTGAGATTTGATACGTTGAGAAGTGAAGACTCGAATGTTCTATTGAAAGGAAAACAAAGTGCAAATAAGTAGACAATAGATGACAAGATTAGGTTTCACTGCGTTAATTGACTGAATGTACTGGTAATCCACAACACACAAGTCTTTGTCAGGATAATTTCAAGCTTTTATGAGTTGTACCTCATTGGTTTATTTATGGACTGCGTGTAAACAGTACAACACCGTTAATTTTAGATTGGAATAAAAGTAGATGCTATTCTAAACCTCATGAGACTTTGATCCTGTTGCGGGCATGTTGTAAAAAACGTAATTGAGTACCCTTCATTATGTTATTGATTAGATGCAGTAGAGTTAAAACTATATAAATAATGATAAAACTACTAGGATATATTATTATATGCTATGAATAGCAAATATGAATAACAAATAATTTTAGTATTAGTATGGCATTGTACGTTGGAACGTGACTTCTTACATTGTTTGTCTTTACTCAAGTCATATCAGAAAACTACAAAAGTCCTGTTATTTTCTCATGAAATGATGTTCTGTAACAGAAGTCAGAACATCATTTCATGAGACTGAACAAAATTTCAAGGCTGCATCAGATTTACCTGGTCCTGTTAAGAAACTTTTTGACTCCAAGATATTATCCTCCGTTAACCATTAACTTAAATGCAACGACAAAAAAGGAATTCTGGACCCGTCTTAAAACCTTGCATCTATCTGCACCGTCACAACATCAGCTTGTAGTTGTACAGTAAAAATATCTGTATTCTTATCAGCTGTGTGCATTATGTCTCTGGTGAGGGAACAAAACACACTACCTTCACTTCACATCTTCTTTCTCTGATATATGGTATAATTACATGATAAAATAACAGCGGGCTGATACACAGTGTAACGAGAATGTCCTGGCAGGATTGTATTGTTTGTCATCTCACTAGCTATCGTGGTACTGTGGCAAGCTATATGTTATCTAGCTGTAAATCGGCCAAAAACAATGCACTACAATTTGACTTTGCATTACAATCATTTAAAATATCTGGAAATCGAGAAAATTAACATTCATTGGGAAAAAACGAACATTGTTATTTTATTTGATATATTCCTCGAATTAGTGATGATAGAAAGTCATTCAGAACAAAATTATTTCAATTCAGTAACTGAAAAATAAGCCCCAACGTATGTGTACTGACTTTAGGCCCACCTGTATTATATATGTATTATATATATGTGTAGCTATGTATATTGCTATAATATACTATATATATATATATATTATATTGCTATATACTGCAGCGTAAATAGAAGAATTGTATTGTCAATATTACATTGGTCCTCCCCTCCTGACTGGTAAGCCGAGCGGCTCATGCTCGACAGTGACCGCTACAGTTAATTAGAGGTCTTAATTAATTACGGAGGAGGTAGATTATCCTGGAGTTGGCAGGGCTATTGATACTAATCATGAGTTTGTAGTGGGCGAGAGAGTGAGCGAGTCGGTATGTCAGGACCTGTCGTCTCTGTGTCGTCTAAAGGTATAGGAAATAGGAGTTCTGTGGAGTTTTGGGAGATTTAAGAGGTTATGTGGGGTTATAGATAGTGGACCACGTGACCATGGTACATGAGTTGTGAGACATGGAAATTGTGGTTCAGAACATGTGTAAATTATAAGTCTAATGTCTATTATTGAGGCTGGGTATGTTAACGCATTGTGCACCGTCTAGTTAGGGTCTCTGAGCAGCAAATGATAGCTGTCTCGTAGGCTCAGAGTAGACTGCCCAATCATAATACCACGATCAAACCATGTCACATGTTAGCCACAAGATATCCCAAATAAATGCAGATGATTTTTTGTGATTTCCTGTTTGTTACAAATTCGTGGTTTTTATTTTAGCACTGCCGGCTTGTCCTTAAAAATGAAGTCTCAGACCCAATCTGCAAAGTTCTGAAACTGAACAGCTGGAAACTTCTTGCACAAAAAGTGTACTCAAACTTAACAAAAATAGCATATACTAGTTGAAAACGGAATCAGCCGGGAGGTGTTAAGTGGATATTAAAATCGGGAACTTCTAAAGCCATCCATGCGTCACAAGGTTCTTCAGAATATTGCTTTCTTGATATATTCAATATTCAATCCATACATTCCCAATAAAATGGTAGCCGGTTGTACTGTTGTAGCCTAGTAGTAGTTTTCAATCCCGTTGCTGTGATCGATCTGAAGGTTATTGAAATTGGGCCGCTCAAATTCAAACTGAATGGAGCGCGCGGAACATGTAAAGGTACAGAAACGACGATTCTTGGGCGCGCGGCTTAAATTATATATTATATTCGTTTGCTGCGCTTGGCCAGTCGATCGCGCGATATATATCGATCGATCACATCTATCATGTCTTGTCGATTCAATTCATTTATGACCAGTGGCGTAACGCTGCCCCGGCCACCCTCAGGGGGCGCCAAAAAGGCGCCCTTTCTCAACGAAAAGTCGCCCCTAGGTTTTTTCTTGAATTTTATGACCTCTCACTGAAAATAACGCCTTATTGGTGTATTCCCCTGTCCAATTTAGCGCTCAGTCGGTGTGAAAAAAATTTTTGGGGCACTTTTTTGCTCCAGGGGCGCTAAAAAGCTGTAGGGGGCGCCAAAAAAACGTACCCGACCTTTTTTTTTTTTTTTAGGGACACAAATAATTTTAGGGGGCAGAGTTACGCCACTGAAAATTGGGCGACTTTTTCGAGCCGCCGGGGGGCGCCAAGTTAAATCAGCCACTAACGTTACGCCACTGTTTATGACTAATAAATAAATATAATGTTGATATATTCGATGATATGATACGGCAGGTTAGGTCATCAAATCAATTATGTATAAGTAACCTTACGATGAGATTAATGATTCAAGTACTGTTAAATGTACTATTATAAGTTGCCTTGAATAACATCTTTAAAAACATGGGCAAATTGAAACATGGGCAAATCGACTAGCACAAAACCATCCTGCAAATTATTGTTGTGTACTACTTGATTATCAATACAACGTTCAGGGTTACTGGCGGAGAGTTGTTCGATAGGATCGTTGAACGAGGAAGTTACTCTGAAAAAGATGCAAGTGAATGTGTGAAACAAATCCTGATCGCCGTCCATTACCTACACGAATTGGGCATTGTTCACAGGGATCTCAAACCCGAGAATCTCCTATATCAAGAGTGAGTTTTTATTAAATATTTTTATTGAGGGCTTGGTAGATTGTTACATTGCATAGTATGATAGTTCCGGATCGTGATGTTTCATATTTTAAAAATATGTGTAATTTGTGTATTGTATGTTTTTATGTGTTCAAAAATGTGAATATACCACCATTACAGTTACTTAGATGAAAAGTAAGTATGACAAAACTTTTAAGTTTTGTTAAGGTAACTAAATTTGAATTATCCTACTCATTAAGTCCGGGTTTTGTTTCTTAACTTTAAGCATTTTTGTGTTGCCCCTTTTAACAGCCGCTGCCTGTTTCTGGACTCCTGTCCCTAAGGCGGACTTCCAGTCACTCGAAACTAGTATCAGTCACTTGTTCAGCATTTTGTTATTGTAAGTCATTAAATGAGTGGCTTTACACACATCACGCCCACTAAAAAGCCTCTCTTTCAACGAATTCAGTTTTTAGCTGAACTTATTATATTTGGTGTGTTTTAATCCGTTACATCTAGGATCGACCATATTTGGCGAACTAGCTTCCTCTAATTTTAGGAGTCGTTCATATGTTACGTAATCGCTGAGGGGGAGGTGGTTTCAAAATGACTACGCTAGTGTACTTTTAACACGATAACTATGAATAAAACTGATTAAAAACGGGGAGGGTGGTTAAAAATGTATCATATTTTTACAGTATTAACCTCATCAACCTTTGATAGGTCTTTTTAAAGGGCAAGGAAAATGTATAGCTACTTAACCATGCGTCTATCGAAAAAGGAGCTCTAAATATAATCCAAATTTTCTCGCGTGGGTTTCTCAGTATTATTGAAGCTTTAAAATCAAATCTCTAATTTTTGCAATACGATTAAAGTAAACAAACACTCATTTTCAAGTGAAACAGAGCAGTCGCGGTTGATGATCAGTGATTTCGGTTTGAGTAAAATGGAAGGTACGGAAGCTATGGCAACTGCCTGTGGTACACCCGGTTATGTAGGTTAGTGTGTTGCGGACTTACAGGAATTTTAATCTTAAACAGGATATGATATTCTACCAGTGACTACATAGGAAATTTATATTTTTCAATATAAGGGTATAATAAATAAATAGTCTGTATAATTCCATTTTAATTGATAGCCTTAATATTCTTACTGACCCACTAACTTTAATCGTGGTCTGATATTGATGTAATATAATATTTTATTCCGTCCTAATATTTGATTATTTTAGCACCGGAGGTGTTAATGGGTAAGCATTATGGTAAAGAGGTCGACTGCTGGTCAATCGGAGTCATCGCCTATATTTTGTGAGTGATTAATAGATATTCTTATCTACTTTTAGAATTCTTTGTTAGTAGATAAACCATTCATTACAACCATTGATCTTCAATTAGCTTGATTCATGAAAATGTTAAAATGTATGCTTTACACATTTCATACATTTCAGACTGTGCGGATATCCTCCGTTTTATGATGAAAACGATGCGACACTCTTTGCTCAGATTATGAGGGGAGAATATGAGTTCGACAGTCCATATTGGGACGAAATATCTGAGAGTGCTAAGGAGTTCGTCAGATTTTTTATGACTGTTGATCCAACAAAGCGATACAGCTGCGCTGATGGACTTAAACATGAATGGTATGTCACCTTGTATCCTGTTTGATTAATATCTGGCAGCTGATGTAAGATTTGACGAAAACTTGTGTGGTAGAAATGTTATCTTTTTTCCATTCAGGATTGCCGGAACGGACCAGAGTGATGTGAATATCCATGGCACTGTCAGTGAGATGATGAAGAAGACACTACTCAAAGCAAAGTGGAAGGTATAGTAGATTAGCGGAATGTTCAACACCATTTTTTATTATACAATTCTGCATTTAACCCTACAATTATGTTTTCTGCAGAAACGAAAGCTTGAAACCCTGCAAAATCTTGTTAAACTGTTACAATCAGAAAACTCGTCGAAACAAAAAATTCTTTTAAAGTAACAACACGAAAGCTAATAATAGTCCGCTTCTTCAGAACGCTATTACTGCCACCACCGCGGTAAATCGAATGAAAAACATGGGACTGATCCACAAATCGATCGCATCAGAAGACTCCACCGGCAGTCCCGGAAGTGCCTAGAAACTTCCCGAACTTTGGAAGAAAAAGATGAGAGATTATGCACCAAGATACCTAATATTTTGAGTTTGTTACTTATAGCGTCCCGTTTCGAGGAAGCTATGTTGGAGAGATCCTATTATTCTGATTCGGAGTTTGTCATTATCATCAAACACATTCCATACCTGGAGATACCTGAAATTTGGCTGTTTTGAGCTTTGCAGTTATTTCTGAGAGAGATTTATTAAGTTGCCATAATATTGTGGTGGCGATTTACAGTTTAATTTGCTTGACTTTGTTTGATTTAGATTATATCACACTGTTTTTGGTTTGTATCCTTAAATACCTCTTTTTGATCCTTAGGTCATGTGCTGAAATTATTTTGGGAAATTTACGTACTAATGTGTATTTAGCTAATATAATAAATCGGACAAAAGATGTACAAAGTTATATTTAACGTTATAGAAAGTTTAGTTATATTGAAAATAAAGGCTATGGATATGATATTGATATGCTACAGTTATAATCATTATGTAAAATAGTATGGCATGCTTTTTTTCTTTTTGGGACTCTCTGGTTAATACCAACGTTAGGTTGTTATTATTAATACTGTTTACTTAAACTCAAAGTCATATTAGTTGGCATAATCATCTCATTACCTAATCACTGCATGATCTTACCGTGCTCAAACCGAATTTATAGACTAGAACCCCAAATCTAAGCCTCTTGTTAATAGCAGTTGGATATTCATGAGTAATTAGTAAAAGGAACATCCCCCCTTTATATATATTTCAAAATCATGTTTCACGGGCTTTATTTCCAAGCTTCTCAGACCTAGTCACCTGTGCCTCTTAACTGCTCTACCGGTACCAAAACTGTTTGCAGTCCCATTAGCACACATGTTGGTATGTGGTAACTTAAGCAAGTGCTTATCTTCTGGTTAAGTACCGTTTTAAGATTATCACCTCGGTAGGCAGATAAGTTTTGCAGAACTTTCATCAAGTTCTAAACCAGCTAAACATGTAAAAATACCCATGGTTAGAATTCTTTAAAGTGAGTAAATAGTAAGAAAATAGACGTTGTTCAATATCAACATCAAGTTTACACAGCCTGTTTCACCAATTGAATTTGTAAAGACATAGGCAGATTTTGTTTTATCATAAATTTCAAACACAGCATTTTAACTTGTCTAAAAAAGTATGAAGAAAATTCTTAATTCAATTTAAGCCATCGTCTGATCAAATAGTATATTATACCATGCATGGTGCACATGTTGATGAAAGACAAGTTTAAAGTTGTATGTCCGCTTAAATCATCGAGAGAGAAATAGAAATTATGATCGACGTTGGTTTAATAATCAGTGGCCGTATCTTATTGTCTAATTCCTGGCTGCTGAGTGCTGACGTACTCGTAGCCGTTTACTCGAGGACATAGCTATTACTATTAGTTGTTGCGGGGGAGGATATTGGCGCCGTGCATATAGGCTGACACGGACAATGTCAACCCCTTACTGCTTACATCCCTTCTAGTGGCGTGACTTATAATAACATCTGATTTATGCTTCGTCTCGCAGTGCACAGGGAGGGGCGCGCGTGTCGGGCCAGGCAACGTTTGCAATTTGGTAATGCATCATGCCCGGCCACAGGCCACGGATGTCATGTTTTATAATGGTGATTCGAATTATTATGAATTCGTGCATGGTTAGGCTGCGCTCTCTCAAACGCAATATTTTTCTTCTCTTCGTTCACAGTGCAATTTTACCACGCGGCCTAGTAGTGCATAGCTTTACAAATTTTTAATCGGTGTTTATGAACACAAATCAGTGTTTATGAACACAAAAAACGAAGTAAACGATTAATTTTATTGCTTTTGATTTTTGTTATTATATTATCAACAGCTAATGTGTAATGATAAAATAAGAATTAAGTCCTTAATTTACATTTTTGATAATGTTGTTATGTATATAAAATTAATTGACATACGTTGCATGCTTCACATAGCCATGTGCCTACGCGTACTGCGTGACGCGCTTGTTTCACAAGCGCGGTCGCGCGCTACTGCAAGCGAGAGGGCTCTGGTTAGAGCAAGTTGCATGCCACTTTTCGCGCGCGAAGCGCGCGCCGCCGATATTTGATATTTGGATACGAAACATGAATCAAAAAATTAATTAAAATGACATATGATGCTACCTGGGGACCCCAAGCTATTAAATTTATGTTCATAATCATGTTCATTATCATAGAGATTTGCAGTGGAATGACAGGCTGCAAGCGCCGCCCAGTAAAGATGATGCATGATAAATTACGCTTTGTTTGCAAGTCTTCGATGTTCATTTAATTTGTTATTGGCGTGCTAAAATCGAGCGCTTTACTGATATATATAATATGAACGCTATCCTCATACGATAGGCTACTTCGTTGTGGCTTGTTTCAACGATTACGCTAGTGTATAATTTTATGGGAGGGGGTTAAAAATTGTGAACGATCCCTTAGATTACTTTTCACGTTGAAGGATGATACTTTTGATTACCCAAATCTACTATTTAGTGTCCCATCAAACAATTTTCGTGTGCTTCAAATATATCATTGTTGACCTAATTGGAAGCCTATTAAATGTTGTGTGTTGGGGAAAAATTGGTCAACCGCTTTAATCTTCCTATCAAAAAATTCTGCAATTCGGAAAATACACTATATTATATTGACGGTGCTGTTAGAATAACAGAATATTCACGCTATAAAACAGTTGACATCAAGAATATTATAACATTACCAAACTAACTAAAAATATAAAACTATTCAAACAATATACGGACACGTTCATTGAAGTTTGAGGATATTGGTAAATTTCTAAAATAGCGTTTTCGACGATAGTGGCTTAATTTTAGCATCTATTAATCTAGCGTGTTCATAAGTTCAGAACATTAGCCACGTGACCCATACTCCCATATGCACTGCTCAGAAATAAAATGTATTGCTTTTAGGCACTATAATGTAAAAAATGTCACATTTTTGTGACATTGTTTACCATAGCTGCCCAATTATCATTCCTTGGTCTGAAATATAGTAGATTAGGTCAATCTAACAATTGTGATACAACATTGGTTAAAGGGCACGGATCGAACGGCTTTAAGGCAATATTTCGTAAACTTTGTCACACTCAGAATACGAGACCTCTTTTCTACTGTGAGGTGTCCTCAAAACCCTTTCAACTCATTATTTGATGGTTCTTCTGCCAATCATAGCCCTAAAAGGCTAAAATATGAACTTGTTTTGAAAAGTTAGCTAATACATGCACTTGGTTATTAGGAAATGATGTAAATTCTGTCACATAGTCACATTATATGGAGTTTGAAATTCTGGGTGAATTTCCGAAATCATTTATATCTGATTTTGGTTTGGAAGGCGGGAAAACTCTATATAAGGACGATACACGGATACAGTTGATTCAAGTATAGGGCAGTTGATGTAAACATCGTCACAAAATGATACGACATCGTAAATAGGTTACATTTTGCGGGGAAAATCTATATAAGGACGATACACGGAGACAGTTTATTCAAGTATAGGGCAGTTGATGTAAACATCGTCACAAAATGATACGACATCGTAAATAGGTTACATTTTGCGGGAAAACTCTATATAAGGACAGTATACGGATACAGTTGGTTCAAGTATAGGGCAGTTGATGTAAACATCGTCACAAAATGATACGACATCGTAAATAGGTTACATTTTGCGGGAAAACTCTATATAAGGACGATACACGGATACAGTTGATTCAAGTATAGGGCAGTTGATGTAAACATCGTCACAAAATGATACGACATCGTAAATAAGTTAAATTTTGCGGGAAAACTCTATATAAGGACGATACACGGATACAGTTGATTCAAGTATAGGGCAGTTGATGTAAACATCGTCACAAAATGATAAGACATCATAAATAGGTTAAATTTGGAAACAATGATTATAGAATGAAATAGTCTGTGATTAACATATTACATACATTATAAAATGGGCAGGGGTTTTTATATTTCCTGTATCTCTGTATTAATCATTTCGGACTGTAATTAGGACTGTTCACGTGAAAGAAATTGTATCTAAATTTTACAATGACGTACTCGTATGTGACAAAATTTACATTTCTTGACCCTATTTTGAAGAACCATACCTCGGTTAGAATTCAATATTCTTCCAGGAATTATTGGTTGGTTATTGTTTAGAAAAATAGAACTCAAGTTTAACAATGCTGAGTTTAATTTTACTAAGTTACTGAAATGTGACGAAATTTACTTTTCCTGCCCCAACAGTATAATTTCAATGTGATGAAAAATTGGCATGGGTTTCTATATTTCCTGTATAAATCCATTCTAACTATAATAAGGACTATTGATATGAAAGAAAATCTATCTAAATTTTAAAATGACGTATGTAACGAAATTTACATTTCTTGCCCCTATTTTAAAGAACCATACCTCAGTTAAAATTCAATTTTCTTCCAGGAATTATTGGTTGGTTATTTTTCAACAAATCAGAACCCAAGTTTAACAATGCTGAGTTTGATATCACTAATTTACCGAAATGTGACAAAATTTACTTTTCCTGCCCCAACAGTATAATTTCAATGTGATGAAAAATGGGCATGGGTTTCTATATTTCCTGTATAAATCCATTCTAGCTATAATAAGGGCAGTTGATATGAAAGAAAATCTATCTAACTAATGCTATGGCTGATGTGACGAAATTTACATTTCTTGCCCCTATTTTGAAGAATCATATATATAATACCTCAATTAGTATATAATGTTACTTTATCACCATCACTATGTCGATAAATTAGTTATTTTGCCAACACGGAGCAAATAAAGTTATAATATTTTTTTTGTGACGAAATTCACAAATTTTTACCCTGTTCAGGTGTTGAAATTTTGCCAATGTTAACATATCACTGCCATATAATAATTTATATGACCGGCGTATGGTTGAAATATTGTTAATTGATCCATAGTACGTAATATAGGGTGTTTAAGTTGGTATACTAATATTTACTCAATTTCACACATGTTGAGATATCATACAAATTTATGTGACTAAATTTACCTATTTCTGCCTTCTGTATTTGTATTTGCCTATAACAATGAAATATGTGAACAATTCCAAACACATTCAGCTCACAAAATAATGCTAGACTATTCGGCATTTCTTGTCAGGATGTCATAAACATCCCTCATATAAATTTCTTAAATGTGTGACGGAGTTTACATGGTGCTACCATTTAACGAAAAAAGTCGCTAAATATGTAGATAATAGTCATATGCAACTATCCTATAAATTTGAAATTCGAAAATTTGGTCAAGCACGGCAACAAGGGGTCCATATAAACTCTGTCACGTTTTTATAGTGTGACAAAGTTTACAACTCACTGCCGGCCGCATTTAAACGATATCTTATTGTCTGATAAAGATATCGTTATGCGACAAAGTTTATCTAGAGGATGAAACGATTATCCTAACCATTGAGGGTTTATATAGTTTTATAGTGTGACACATTTTACATCATCGTGCCATTTAGTAGGGTCACTAATATTTACCAATATCCTCAAACTTCAATGAACGTGTCCATACACATAATATAATGATAATAAAACATAAAATAAACACAACATTTATAAACCGCCTTATAGCTAAATCGTATAACTCGATATAATTTAATCCTGGAGATGAACTCCAGTGCTTTCTAAAGCGGCTCTTACATTAACTGAGCTTAGTTTAATAATAGCAGTGACCCTATATAAAATCAACCCTTTAAGAATTCAAAAAATTCCCTTAACAATCAAAAATTACCCTTGGCCTTGTGGCTCCAAGTTAAGATCTAGACTGTTTATATCAACAATGTTTTTTCTCGTACCTCTGTCTCCACGGAGAGAAATCACTGTTGTTCTAAGGATTTCAAAGCGAAGGCGCTTTCTAATGTATCCTACAGCGTCTGAGTACCTCTGGCCAGTGTGGTACTCCATCTTACTGGCCAGCTTCTTGACCAGTCTCTCAGCTTCACCACCCATTCCACCAGAAGTCGAGAACACTAAAGGTGTGAAGCTTCCTTTCTCCACTTCAAGAACCCTTGCATTGTAACATCGCTTTTTCTCATTTTCATGGGACAGGTACATTGCTGGGATCGATTTGCTTGCATTGGAGGGGGCTGGGGCATGAAATACCCTTACATCAAAATATGCCCTCTCTGAAGCATTCCAAATCGATCTTGCAGAAATGTCCAGCCTGGCTTGGTCTCCTAGGACTGTTCCCTTTGGTAACTCTAGACCATCAACTGGAAGAAGAACTGGCTCAGTCTGCACATCCTTGCATTTCACAGTTCTCATTAGTTCTGCAAATAATAAATTATTGCCCGCTTACACTATTTTCGACTCCATTTGTCTTCATGCTGCATGTACAGCCCCAATATGCTATGAAACATTCAAACTATAATATTGCTATATATGTTTTAAATATGTGGCCTTACTCATCAACTGTTAATTCGAAACTGGCTTAAAATAACATGCTCATGTTGGAGAATTTTAAGGACTTATTTTTGTTGGCCTCTTTAGATATGAACTTGTAGCTTATTTCACCAATATTTTTCCAGCATTTCCGGTCAAACAGTTGGTGTACTATGTGAGTTTATTTGATGAAAACGTAGATTATAAATCTGATTTTATTGATCTTAAAACCATATCTTACCGTTTTATTGCAGGATGTCTAATGGAAAGTATGCAAAGAAGCGCCATCATCACAGAGTTTTAGATCAGAAGAAAGCCAAACGAACCAGATGTAGAGCAACAGACGTTGATCAGATTTCAGCAAATATCATTAAAGCCACACCAGCACTAGTCAAACAGCTGGAGAAACGTGATTATGATAAAGTTGGCAAGGGTGAACATTTCTGTATGCCATGTGACAGATATTTTATGAATCCTGGAGATCTGGTAAGGCACGAAAGATCCAAACCTCACAAAAAGCGTATTAAATACCTATCAGAACCACAGTACTCACATGCTGAAGCTGACAAGGCTGCTGGATTAGGAAGTTATACCACACCCGAAGCTCCAGTGTATCCTATTCATTTAGGTCTGATGACTACTCAACATAAAGATCAGGTCCAAGAATTACAAAACCAGTTGGAGTCATCTACTGTTATGAACTAAATTAAATTCAGGCTAATTTATTCTTTTCGATGATGGGTGTTATTTGATATCTTCTGAAACTTTTGAGTCAATCAAAATTGAATATTTAAATTCAGTTTCTTGTCGCAATTTTTATATACTGACTCACCCTCCTTTATAAAATTGTTGACTTGTGTTGGTTCAAATTATTTATTATCTTACAGGGGATAGTGTCATTACTTTTAGAAAGATCTAGCCAATTTCATCGACATAACATCAGTAATAAGTGTAAAATTGATTATGGGCTATGGTTCATGATCTGTGATGAATGTTACCTTACCATTGCAGTAGTCCCGCCATTTCCTATAACAGACAAGGATCCCATACATCTCACACTCTGTTGCTGACCAATTCTTTGCAGAAGTCAATAAATTTAAGAAACAATATTCTAATCTGCATTTTTCCTTATTTTATCGTTGATGATGATTTAACAAATTCATTCCTCTATTAGGAACACATTATGAGCATTAGAAATGAATGGTTCACGATCAAGACCTAAAAGTAATCATGGAACTTTTGGGGCAATTCCAATCGAATCTATTACTGAACGTTATTACAATGAGCGTCGATACACCTCAAAAGGAGATATAAATTCTCTGAAAATTAATGACAGGAATTTTAAAGGCGTTTCCTTGGATCACTTTGAGCGTCAAGAACCCCTTCTCCTTGGCAAGGGTGGTAATAGCACAGTAGAATGTTACAAGCACATAAAGTCGGGTAAGTGCCTTTATCTTTCTTTGTAATACAAAGTGACATCCATGAGTTCTCTTCTGGCAAATTTGATGCTAGCAGGTGAAGCTTGTCTTGTATTGCCTTAGCTTTTATGGTAAAGTAGCTGATTTTTGATGTTTCCATAAAAAATTTGTTAATATCAGAATATTTGCAGATACTGTCATGGCTCTCAAGAAAACGAGATTAGGCCAACTGAATGAGCTGGACAAAAAGACGAAAGTAACTCGTGACATAGAACATCTTCGAAAACTAAGAGGACACAGTAACATCATTACTCTCTATGGTTACTTCGAAATGTGCGGTGAAGCCTTCATTTGTATGGAGAAAATGGAGACTTGTTTTGCAAAAATACTCCAAATCTGTTTAAAGAAAGATACCCTCATCCCTGCTAAAGTGCTGGCCACTCTTTGTTACAGTATATCACACGCTCTGGTGTACTTGAAAGACAAGAAGATAATTCACAGAGACGTCAAGCCAGGTCAGTGACATTAACTTAGATAATCCATTAAGTCGCCAGCAAACTATGAGACTCTGATATTTTATCTCTTAGATAAGAATTCGACAGAATTGGTCTAAATGTAATGTCTCTGCTTTGCTTTGGTCCTGTGTGACTTCGTGAATATTGAATATGCTATCTAAATTCTAACTCCACTGATAATTGACAAACTCTATCATGTCAGCGAACATTTTGCTGGGCACTGAGGGACAAATAAAGCTATCAGATTTTGATGGATCGGGATATCTCTATAATTCTTATTGCTTTAGGTAATTGCTTAAAGTAGGTCTAGCCGATTTAATCATCTAATCGTTTTTTCTTCAGAATTATCGTTGCTTTTAAGGTCTGAGAGAAGACAACCTTGCGTTTCGACCCAGTGATTGTAAATGAAATCAGATATCATGATTTCCGTCGTCCCTGCATACCAATAAACGAGTCATTGTTTAAAACATTGAATAACGTGTTGTTCCCCTTTAGTGATCCCACTATAACGAGCTGTTACGCTGCTCCTGAAAGAATAGACTGTGATGATAAGAAGAATGAGGCTAAATTTGATTGCACCGCAGATATCTGGAGCTTAGGTATGCCAAAATGAAAAGTGTACCAATTCCGGCTTCTATCTATTTAAAATTTAGTCTCAAATACCGGGAATACCAAATCAATTATTTTCCCTGTAATATAGTAATTATAATACGATATGCGACGGCAAACTATGTTTTATATACCGTAAGTTGTAACTAACTGTAAAATTACAGGTGTGTCTGCACTGGAGTTGGCCACCAGGAAGCATCCCTTTGCCAGTAAGGATATGAAAGCACAGTTCGACCTGATGGCTAAGATACTAAAACAGGAACCACCGTATCTTGCTAAATCTGATCCCGCGTGAGTTTTTGTGTCTGTATGGTTGGTTTTTGTAGAATTTTTCTATAAAATTAGTGGGGCCAGCATATCTGAAAATTATTTAATGTGATTTTAAAATGAGCTTAGTCGTCCGAAATAAGTTTAATCTTTTACTACTATTCCAAAATCAAATAATCTTCAGTTACGAACCAAACCTAGCCGACTTTATAGCCCAATGCCTGAAGAAAGACCCGGATGAGCGGATGTACCCGAAAGTTAAGAACGGCAGGTTCTACATCATGAAGCACAAGTTCATATCCATGCGAGAGATTATTCTAGAGAAACAGGTCGCTGAATGGTACAACAATTTGACCAAAAATTAGACCTGTGACGATCCTTACTCACTTTAATTTAGGAATAAATTGATACAGTATTATGATAAACAGTAAAATCGTACCACGATCAATTTGAAAATACAAAAGTTCAATCTTCATGCTTGCCATTCTAAAATTGTTAGCATTATTTTTAAATTCTTATAATTTATATTTTTAGTTGTAAAAGTAATAATTTTCACTTTTTTCTAAAATTACGTTACGTTTTTGTTAAATCGCCTAAATTAGGACTGTATTTACACTTCATTCTGTTGGATGATAAACCATACTTTTCAATTTACTTAAGCCGTACATTGGAAGCTTTTCAATAACGCTGTGCAATTTATAACGCTATTCATTATTGTGTGGAACAGTTGCTATTCGTGTTACATACATGATGAAGGTGATGGCTGTTAAATCTTATTTTCTGTGGAATAATTACAGTGTGTTCACTGTTGCAACTTTAAGCGGGGCTTAGGCTCAGGTTGCCGTGATAACTGAAAATTATTTTTAAACAAAGTATGATCGGTATTTTTAAGGATTCAATACGCGATATTTTGGGCTGCTATGGGTTGAATTTGGATTCGATGGTATGTAAATAATAATATAATAATGATGATAAATTTAACGATTTCTTAATTGTTTTTAACACTTCCCTGCAGTCAGAATCTTTAAAGTAGACTAGAGGTTTATTTAATAATTTTTCAGCAGTCCGTAGATTAAAGTATTTTAAAACAACTTTTAGTGAGTTTAGATAAATCAAAATTTATGGAAGTGCAAACAGATTTAATTAAGTCATTTTGAACTATGAGTCTTACAATGAAGAAACTTTTCAGTTTGTATTTTGCGTTATTAAGTTGAGCATTGTAAAAATTATATGTTGCTTAAGTTTAGCTGCTAAATTGGCAATCTGGCGTTCGAATATAATGATTATTTATTTCGATTCCTAAAATTTGCTTGTTTTATTTATCTTTCTAACAGTGCAGACGATACTGTTCAAATATTTGTTTCATGGTTAATCAATTAGAAGCCGATACCATGTCCAATGTCCATGATAGTATTATGGTTGGTTTCCATAGTATCAAATATTGATAATATAGTTACTCGTATAATATAAAACTACTAGTCTAGTAATGATAAGGTCGTAATGCACTAAAATTGAAAGACACGGTCGCGGTATTATGATTGCCTTACAACTGCTTACTACAATTGCCACCCTAGCCTGTCTCTAATTTATTACAACTGCCTCCCTGCCTCTAGTTTATTACAACTGCCTCCCTGCTTCTAGTTTATTACAACTGCCTCCCTGCCTCTAGTTGATTACAACTGCCTCCATGCTTCTAGTTGATTACAACTGCCTCCCTGCCTCTAGTTTATTACAACTGCCTCCCTGCCTCTAGTTTATTACAACTGCCTCCCTGCCTCTAGTTTATTATAACTGCCTCCCTGCCTCTAGTTTATTACAACTGCCTCCCTGCCTCTAGTTGATTACAACTGCCTCCCTGCCTCTAGTTGATTACAACTGCCTCCCTGCCTCTAGTTGATTACAACTGCCTCCCTGCCTCTAGTTTATTACAACTGCCTCCCTGCTTCTAGTTGATTATAACTGCCTCCCTGCTTCTAGTTTATTACAACTGCCTCCCTGCCTCTAGTTTATTACAACTGCCTCCCTGCCTCTAGTTGATTACAACTGCCTCCCTGCCTCTAGTTGATTACAACTGCCTCCCTGCCTCTAGTTGATTACAACTGCCTCCCTGCCTCTAGTTGATTACAACTGCCTCCCTGCCTCTAGTTGATTACAACTGCCTCCCTGCCTCTAGTTGATTACAACTGCCTCCCTGCCTCTAGTTTATTACAACTGCCTCCCTGCTTCTAGTTGATTATAACTGCCTCCCTGCTTCTAGTTTATTACAACTGCCTCCCTGCCTCTAGTTTATTACAACTGCCTCCCTGCCTCTAGTTGATTACAACTGCCTCCCTGCCTCTAGTTGATTACAACTGCCTCCCTGCCTCTAGTTTATTACAACTGCCTCCCTGCCTCTAGTTTATTATAACTGCCTCCCTGCCTCTAGTTTATTACAACTGCCTCCCTGCCTCTAGTTGATTACAACTGCCTCCCTGCCTCTAGTTGATTACAACTGCCTCCCTGCCTCTAGTTGATTACAACTGCCTCCCTGCCTCTAGTTGATTACAACTGCCTCCCTGCCTCTAGTTGATTACAACTGCCTCCCTGCCTCTAGTTTATTACAACTGCCTCCCTGCTTCTAGTTGATTATAACTGCCTCCCTGCTTCTAGTTTATTACAACTGCCTCCCTGCCTCTAGTTTATTACAACTGCCTCCCTGCCTCTAGTTGATTACAACTGCCTCCCTGCCTCTAGTTGATTACAACTGCCTCCCTGCCTCTAGTTGATTACAACTGCCTCCCTGCCTCTAGTTGATTACAACTGCCTCCCTGCCTCTAGTTGATTACAACTGCCTCCCTGCCTCTAGTTGATTACAACTGCCTCCCTGCCTCTAGTTGATTACAACTGCCTCCCTGCCTCTAGTTTATTACAACTGCCTCCCTGCTTCTAGTTGATTATAACTGCCTCCCTGCTTCTAGTTTATTACAACTGCCTCCCTGCCTCTAGTTTATTACAACTGCCTCCCTGCCTCTAGTTGATTACAACTGCCTCCCTGCCTCTAGTTGATTACAACTGCCTCCCTGCCTCTAGTTGATTACAACTGCCTCCCTGCCTCTAGTTTATTACAACTGCCTCCCTGCCTCTAGTTTATTACAACTGCCTCCCTGCCTCTAGTTTATTACAACTGCCTCCCTGCATCTAGTTTATTATAACTGCCTCCCTGCCTCTAGTTTATTACAACTGCCTCCCTGCTTCTAGTTGATTATAACTATCTCCCTGCTTCTAGTTGATTACAACTGCCTCCCTGCCTCTAGTTTATTACAACTGCCTCCCTGCCTCTAGTTTACTGCCTCCCTGCCTCTAGTTTCCGGTAGGTAGCGCCTGCACTCAATTAGCCATGTACATTGGGCTAGTTGGCTATACTTTCAGTGTACACATTAACCAGCCTGCACTTATTCTATGTGTGTTTGGTATAGTGAGAACTCTGTGTTCCTTGTATCGGGTTAGGTTGACTTGTTAACTCTTTTTCTCTGCCTGGTATGCAAATGTTATGATATAATATGTTATGAGGAATATTAGAGGTGCTGATTTTTCAGGACAGTAATTGGGTTGTAGTCGATCTAGGCAGTTGGCAATTCGTTTCGGGTTGTTCAGTGTACTTTTGTTTCATGTAGTAGCATAGCTTTTGTCTCTTTTATCGTCTATCTGTCTGTGTATTTAAGTTTTATCACATGTTATGCCGTATAGTTAATATAGTGCTGGTCACAACTTAATGTCGAAAGTAAAGACAATAGCACTTTTGGGTGAGCACATAATAAGTTGATTAAATGCCCAATTTAAAATATCTATTCCGTTGTTTACAATATCCTGCGCGGTTTTTACATCATTTCAACATTGTACTGCCACATAAAACAAATGTGACTTTCGATTAGAAGAAACACTCTAACAAAAAGCAAAAAGAACTGGGTACCTAATTGCACAGTCTCAATAAAATACAACTTGGCATGAAAACAAACTTCGTCTTAATATAACGAATGCAAATTTTTGAATTATTTAAAAATCATAGTACGTCATTTTTAAATATTACCGGAAACCTGATACGAAATATTTCTTATTGTTTCTCTTAGAAAATGAACTCAAATCTATATGAAATAACACCGACAATAGTATCTTATTTCTGCTAAATGTTACTTAGTATTTAACAAGTATATCTGCTGAGCTAGGTAGTGAATGGTGGCGTGGGTTAGGGCATGACATCGTCCGCACATCCTCCCCAACCTGTAAGATTATATTTTTATGAAATTTAAAATTTTTATTGATTAATTCAACAAAAAGCCCCTATCTGTGGGCACTAACAATCCTTGCACAAGATAATAGTTCTCGACTTGCTATACTTTTACTTAATACTTTTTGAAAACCATATTAGTCCGATCCTTGTCAATCCTTAGTACTTGTAGTAAATTAACTGTAAGATGAGCGTTTCTAACCATCACGTTAGCCCCCTATCAGGTTTCTAATCAGATTACCACAACAGGTGGCTGTTTCGAAAGATTCCATCTCCACTCTAGCTCCGGAACACCCTCCAGCAGCTGCAGACAACACCACCAACCGTCCTCCTCCTCCCCAACCTCCTATCAGAAATGCAGTCCACCTCTCCTCTCAGGTGTCACATCCTCCTCCCCCTCTTCCTATGAGTAACCCTCCTCCTCCTCCTCCTCCTTCTTCTAAACTGGAGGAGATCCAGTGTATGAGCCAGTATGATAGCAGGTTGTTTGGGTTCCTGAGGATACACTCTAGCCCGGGTCCTGAGGAGGGGAGTCAGGAACACAAAGAGGCTGAGGAAGAGAGAGTTTACTTGACTCAGGTAAGACAAGGCCATGTTACTCTACTACTCGGTTCACGTTATGGTAAGGGGAAAGATCAGGGTGGGAGAACAGGGCCCCCTGCCCCCAAAAAGGCCAGATTAGGAGAACAAGGCCAGGTTTCTACTCGGTTCACGTTATGGTAAGGGGAAAGATCAGGGTGGGAGAACAGGGCCCCCTGGCCCTAAAAAGGCCAGGTTAGGAGAACAAGGCCAGGTTTCTACTCGGTTCACGTTATGGTAAGGGGCAAGGCCAGGTTCTACATGGTGTGAATGTGAAATGTCATAACCCTGAGGGGGGTTGAGCCTTGAAATGTTAATAAAGTAATGAGATTTGTAACGCTAAACATGAGCGTGCCAGCTGACTGCTGCAAATAATTTCATTAGTAAACACTAAACAGTCATAACTATAAACACTCTGATAAAATAAAACTAAAAGTAAATAGTTCGATTTTAGTTCCACTATTTACCTGCTAAGCTGCTACCCTACCTCCCTGTTTCTAGGCTACATCGCAGCTGAACAAGCTCCTTCACTCAACTTATGATAATCCTGACCTCTTCTGTCAGCTCGGACATTTTCACTTACTTTTAGAGGATTACGACAAAGGTAATTAGTCAGATTATATTAGTTATTAATTAATAATTAGTAAATTATAATCATTCTTGTTAAGTTCGTGATAAGGACTTAACTGCACTTCTAGCCGTTTCCAAGCTGTTTTTCAAATGCTTTCTCTTATATTTTTGTATCCCCCAGCGATGTCAGCGTACCAGGAGTATATAACACTTCACCCTGAACACTGGAAGAACGCCGCCTTCCTGTACGGACTGGGTCTTGTTTACTTCCACTTCAACGCCTTTCAATGGTCAGTTTCACTGCTTCAGACTACAGAGTGCAGTTGTGTGCAATAAAATAGTGGCGTTTAAACACTTGTTATGTTAAATTTCGTGATGATTTCATGCTCATTCTTTATCTTGACAACACATTTTAAACATTTCCCTATATCACTCCTGTTGTAAACTAGGAGTTTACTGTTTAGAGTTTAGACTCTATATTATTCATGTTAAATCATCACATTATAAACCTGCTCTCATTTTACCACATAATAAACCTGCTCTCATTTTATCAGGGCAACAAAAGCACTGCAGCAAGTCCTGTATATTGATCCAGGATTCAGTCGCAAGAACGAAGTCCACATCAGGCTTGCTATCATGTTTAAAAACAAGAACGACTTTAATGCTGCACTGAAGGTACGTTGTGACCGTGGGAAGGCGTGGTATTTGGCTATTATCTCGGGTCTAAAATTTCAAATATGTTACATAATTCAATGTTTCCATGATAATGCTAATCTGTATAAGGTTGTAGTCGGACTCGGTAATGTTTGAAAAATTGTAATTTAAAACCTCTGGATTCTAAGATATGATAGATATGCCGAACTCAATTCCTTTTAATAAGACAGGACTCTCAGTAAATATAAAATGGAAAGTTATCGTGCTTCAATCAACCAATTAACGAATTCGATTGTATATCTCACGTTTTGCACCATCTGTTCCCTGATAAGCGCCAAGATCAAGGCGTGAACTTGGTGCATAAAAAAACCATTAAATTTGAGCATTGCATACTGATAATTAATTAAATAAACCAATTAACTCCCCCTCATTTCAGCACTTCCACCTCGCCCTCCTGGATACTGCACCCAGCTCTCTAAGTCCTCTTGAGATCCGCTTCCACATCGGCCATTTATACGAGGTTCAGGGAAAGTTCAACCTGGCTAAAGATATGTACGAAACCATTCTTTCTACGGAGAGTGTCCCGTCCAAGGTAACAATTTTACCTATCTTTATTAAGTTTCTTTATCAAGATCACTTCGCATACTACTTTAAATAACTGAGTTATAATTGAGCTGTATAAATCAAAATAAGTTTGTTTATTTCTACATATTGGCTCAAATCCAAATTTGGTAAATTTATAAAGATTAGCCTTTTCCGGCATAGTCTCTTTCCTCACAATTTACATAAATTCCTCATAATTTACATAACAAGTACCCAGTTTTTGAAATTCCCATCACCAGGTTCGAGCCAGCACACTAAGGCAGCTAGGCTGGCTATACCATTCCAGTATCTCCAGTACCATCGACATTCACCGGATACAGAAAGCAGAACCTCTCCTGCTGGAATCTGTACAAACTGATCCCAGCAATGGCCAGGTTAGAAGAGAAGTGGAGTTTTTTGTTTGTCCTAGACGCAATCTGCTGCTTGAGCGATTGCATGTTATCGCATGTGTATTGTAACACTCGCCAATATCATTATATGCTATCTCATTAATATGCGAATGTTATGTCCAGACTTATTGACTCAGGTAGTAAGTACTAAGTGCAGTACTGAGTGCAGTACTGAGTACAGTACTAAGTACAGTACTAAGTACAGTACTGAGTACACTACTAAGTACAGTACTGAGTACAGTACTAAGTGCAGTACTAAGTACAGTGCTAAGTACAGTACTAAGTACAGTACTAAGTACAGTACTAAGTACAGTACTAAGTACAGTACTAAGTACAGTACTAAGTACAGTACTAAGTACAGTACTAAGTGCAGTACTAAGTGCAGCACTAAGTACAGCACTAAGTGCAGTACTAAGTGCAGTATCAAGTACAATATCAAGTGCAGTACTAAGTGCAGTACTAAGTGCCGTACTAAGTACAGTACTAAGTGCAGTACTAAGTGCAGTACTAAGTGCAGTACTAAGTGCAGTACTAAGTGCAGTACTAAGTGCAGTACTAAGTGCAGCACTAAGTGCAGCACTAAGTGCAGTACTAAGTACAGCACTAAGTACACGTTGTATTGCAGTACTCGTTTAGTTTTGTTAGTATACCACTCCAATATTTTATATTTAAACTTCCTGTATTAATAAAACACACTGATATAATATGTAGTCGATAGATTATATCAGGTTGAACCTTCATTAATTACCTTTATTATTTGACAGAGTTGGTATTTTCTGGGGAGATGTTATTCAGCACAGAACAAAGTGAATGAAGCGTTTTTAGCGTACAGACAGAGTATTGATAGACTGGATCGTAATGCAGATACTTGGTGTTCCATCGGGTTAGTCATTATCTTTATACATATTATATAATGTAACTAACTATAAACTCTTCATTATTATTGTTATTGTTCATTATTATTGTAATTGTTCAATGTTCATTAACTTTTGTGATAACTGATAGCCACGAAAGGACGTTGTCGTTAATTAAAATCTTTGCCCACGGCTCACATCATCATTTCATGAATATTATAACTAATAACAAAGAGTTACAGAGTTACATAATAATAATACTATTGTTATTTAAATTACACAGTGTTAGAAGGAGTGCGCTAAGTGTCCTCCCCTCAGTTAGTGAGGTCTATAGTATAACCTTAGTAACGGAGATATTATATAATGAGTAACATGACGACTTATAATATCTCTTCTTTTATGTCAGAGTGCCAATTTGTATATTGAGTATCTGTGTTATAGCTGTGTTGTGTATCACATAGAAGAAGGGTAAATTTGTGTGTTCCTCATGAGTTACAGTAAAGCAGTCATGTGGGGACTTGGCGGAGATGTGTGTACGTTTATATAATATAAACTTTATATATATGATACAAAGCTTTATTTTTAGTTAAAGTTGTGTAGAGTTCAAACTAGAGTCAGAAAAGAGGGTGTGGTCAGTCAGGCCCTTTCTATGGATTCGAAAAATTTATGTAAGGTTTAAACACATTTTGTTGGCTAACTTATGATATTTTCGGCAACTTTAGATGTTTTTGTGGACAATAAAAAACTAATGCTTGTTGTGAACCATTTAAACAATTTTTCATTTCTCAGTCACTCAAGCGTTGAATACTTATTCGTATATTAAAACTATCACGTCAAACTCATGACAGAATACTATGTTGTGACGAACCTAACATGTATGCTAATTACATGTACAGTATTTTGAATGGATCAATAGACTTCAAATCCAGGAATAGATCTCAAATACAGATGGAGCTGCAAGCTCTTATACAGTAAGTATTATACAGTAAACAGCAAGTGTTATACAGTAAACACTGTATAAGGCCGAGGCCCGAGTTGTACTTAAAATTTGATTTCAAGTCTTTAAAGTGAGTTACGTTTCAATTATTGGTAATCCATGTATAGTATAAGAGAGCCACACTGGAATCAGCAATCTTTTAACTCATTTCGTTTCACTTCTCAAAAACACTCTTCCTAATGTTATTATTACACGGACAAATTTCATAATATTCCCTCCTCAACCTAATGAATATTTCAGAGTTTTGTACCAGCATCAGCACCAGCCCATGGATGCACTGCAGGCGTACATTTGCGCGGTGCAGATTGATTCTCAGCACAGTGCCGCCTGGACTAACTTAGGTAAAAATCTCTTTTTCTAACAAAGAAGTATTGTTGTAAAGGGTGCAAGTTGGCGGCCTAACCTATCAACTTGACTTTTTCTTACAATAGTTGTATTGTTGTAAAGGGTGCAAGTTGGCGGCCTAACCTATCAACTTGTACTTTTTCTTACAATAGTTGTATTGTTGGTAGGCTTCTGTGGGCGGTGGTAGATGTTAGTAAGGTTTATGGGTTCTTATGACGGTATGTGTATACTTGACACGGTGTTGCAAACGTAAAGTTAAACCCATGATGTCACATGTTTTAAATGTTTTATAATAATTGTGTTATCCTGTATTCTTGTATGTGTTCGAAAAGATTTTCAATTAGATAAGTCAAACCTTATAATGTCGCATGTTGTTAACCCTGGGAACCGTATGATATCACCCGTTAAACCTTTAATAGTGTCAGTGATATCACACATGCATGTTTTACAGGTATATTGTACGAACAGAACCTGCAACCGGCTGATGCAATGGTTTGCTACAAGAAGGCAGTGGAGCTCAGTAGGAATCTAGATGGGGAGGGATACTACGATCCTATTGCTAAACTACAGGTAAATCAGTAAAACTCTGATAAAACAGTATATAGGGAGAGGGGTTCCAAATTGTGAGAAAATGGGGTTTGAACCCCACATAGCTCGTTGGAAAGCCTGCTAGTCGTGCTACGAAACTCACAAATAATACATATTATATAACATACTATTATTATGGTGAACATTTTGCCTCATTCAAAAACATCGCATATAAGTAAGAGTTATCAAGTTTCCAGTGCAGTTTCGTCGAATGCTAGTACAGCAGGTAATTATTGTTTGAATATAAAGTTGATGGAGAAGGTGTTCGAAGAGAGTTGGCACCTTGGCTTTTAGATCTATTTATAGATCACTTTATTCTATATTTAGATCCGTATCTACCATCTTGAAGTCGACCACAGTCATACCATAATCTGAGCTCCAGCGATAGAGTTTTAGCCAAGAAGATCTTTACTTAGACGGTTTAAAATCAAAATATATAAAGTTTTGGCCGTGCCCAGGTTATCCTACACCTATTGACTTATTGATAACAATACCTCTCTCAGGCTCGCATAAAGGCGATATCACGCCAGCTGAACAGCAAATCAGGAACAGGAGCAGCTCAACACAGCAGTCTGCCCCAGATACAGGAGGCCTGGAGACTACCCATACCCGCTCAGCTCACTAGCAAGAAGGAGACTAAGAATGACGTGAGTTTTGTATCTTTAGGTATTCTAACATATTATATGGGGACTCAACATATTCTGACCTTGATCTTACCTAAACCCGACCGCAAAGTTGCCAAAGCCGACCTCAATTTGCCAACACACAGCCTTAAAATGATCAAAACCCAACATCTCGTGCGTCAGAATAGCGTACTTCATATATTTTATTTTGTATCTTAGACTGTTAAATGCTTAATTGAATGTAAGATGATTGGTGGAACAGATTGTCTACTTATCTGTGAATTTTAACTGCCAATTTTATTGTTTTAATGTGGCATATGATTCATTCATGTGTTAATTGGGCTATTATTTAGTATTTATGAGATAGTTAATTTGATATAAATTAGATATATCGTTAAAAGTTTCTTTTGTATGTCCGCTGATTCACTCGGGAAATCATATTTCCGTTCTAAGTCGTGCTTGAATGTCTTAAATGTATCTTCTTTTGGGTATCTGTCGAAGCGTGTTATAAATGTTAGAATATACATATTTATTTAATTATTTAAATATTTTGTAGAGCAAATTTTCTCAACAAAAAGAGGAGAAGATGGATACTAGCGATGGTAATTCAACTGATAATAAACTCGACAAGAAACCTGAAGGTACGACACTATGTCGTCATTCTAAGATTTATTGTCCAAAATGATTCTTTTTAATCGAGTTAAACTACTAGTAATTGTATTAACTGTTCATGCAGAAGATATGATTGAATCATGATGTTTTGTTGAAGTTATAATCGGAGGATGAGCTAACAGCCAAATTTGCAGTTCCGACTCATTGGGCAGCAAAGATACCGTCAGAGGCCAGTGATATGAAGCAAGTATACAACGCCCCACCCTCTCCTCCTCCCCGCCCTCCTCCTCCTGCCACACTCAACCCTACCACACCCTCAATCAGAGTAAGTAATCACACACTCAACCCTACCACACCCTCAATCAGAGTAAGTAATCACACACTCAACCCTACCACACCCTCTATCAGAGTAAGTAATCACACACTCAACCCTACCACACCCTCTATCAGAGTAAGTAATCACACACTCAACCCTACCACACCCTCTATCAGAGTAAGTAATCACACACTCAACCCTACCACACCCTCTACCAGAGTAAGTAATCACACACTCAACCCTACTACACCCTCTATCAGAGTAAGTAATCACACACTCAACCCTACCACACCCTCTATCAGAGTAAGTAATCACACACTCAACCCTACCACACCCTCTATCAGAGTAAGTAATCACACACTCAACCCTACCACACCCTCTATCAGAGTAAGTAATCACACACTCAACCCTACCACACCCTCAATCAGAGTAAGTAATCACACACTCAACCCTACCACACCCTCTATCAGAGTAAGTAATCACACACTCAACCCTAGTAAGTAGTCACAACATTCACCCCAGGGCCCGGATTTGTGATAAACTTCCTCTAATATCTTAGATTGTGTAATGTGTATGCACGTATGGATTCATTGCTCAACAATCAAAATATTTCTCGATGTGCTATGAAATATTTTAAATTCCGTTTATTCATGAAAATATTTCAATTTTGATTTAAATGATGTCTTTCGGTCATGAGAATCCAATCCCTGCTTTAATGCGATGCCAGCTTAAAGTTTTTTTCTATATAATTTGAATCCGAAATACTGCTTAAAACTGGTTCATGTTATTGTTATCACACACCTAACCCCATCATTTCTTCTCCAGGTTCCCACGCGGGAAGACGCATTCTCCAAAACACTCCGGGACCTGTGTGTGGAATCCCAACAACCAGTCATTGTCATCAAAGGACTTTGCAAAGTCCTGGGACTGGACTTGACCATGTTTAACACACGGACTTTGTTGAACAGTAACCCTGACCACCCGGTGGAAGTGAGGACACAGTGGCAGCAGTCTCCCGACGAGAATTGGGATGTTCAGGTAGATCAGATTACGAATTTTAGTTTAGATTCGATCTGTTTTGTTTATCTTTTGTTGTACAACATGACATCATCAGTCATTAGTCAAAAATGTGAATTCTTTAACTTGCAGTTCAATTTCAATAAGTGATTCGATTTTGGTAGATCAGTGCTACAGCGTAATAAACTTTATCGGTCACGAAATTTATCTAAACTAACATTATCTCAGAACGGGCAGGGAAGAAAGAAGCAGTGGCTGTGTGAAAGTACACGTTCCCACTCAACGATAACAAAATATGCTCAATACCAAGCTAGCACTTTTAGAGAATTCCTACAGGAAGAACAAGACAGATCAGGCAATGACAAGGTTTGGAACTATTCATTACATAACATTCCATTAAATTTGTACTAACTTTTGAATTTTTGATGATGATATTAAGTTTTAAAGATCTATAAATAATAAAAGTGAGGTACCAATATTTTTTATGTACAAGCTATAATATAGGTGACGATATATTAAGTTATATATAAAACTGAAGTATAATTTTTAATGTACATACTAAAACCGTCTTGGCTGCATTACAACCTTAACATTCCTGTATTTCAGCACGAAGACTTAGCCAGCGTTAAAAGACGTGGACCGAAGCGGTTCACTAATTTCAAGATGATACAGTTCGGTACAAATGTTGACTTATCGGATAAGAAAAAGTGGGGAGCACAGGTAAAAAGTGTATTTTAGGCTTCTGATCTAACAAGTTCTAATCAATAACTCTTGCGACTGAGACAGTTTTTGTTATCGGGAAATGAAATGTTATGATCTGTAGATCAAGTGTTATGCTAGTCATATTTTGACTGAGGATAGATCACACGCTGGAGAATTTTTAGTTTAGTTTTGGTAGGAGATTCTGTTGGTGATATATGTACGAGTCAACTCCTGGCCACGATACGGCACATGTAATCACGTGCTGTTTTAATTTAATTCAATTTAATTGTGTCACAAATAAGCTCTCACGACTAAACAATCAGAAACAATCAGATGCATAAATGGGCCCACTTCTTATCTGCCACCCCTAAAATAGCAATACTACAGATAAGATTTTCATTTTACCACTATCTCCATTATTCAGCTACGAAATTTTAATCAAAGACAATTTTAGTACTTAGCAGTCATACACATATATCGTCCAACTCTCATATTCATCACAAATCTTTGACATGATATTTTGATTACACATCAACACACCTAATGAAAGTTTTTTTGTTTTGTTTTTTGTTTGTTAACGGACGGGTAATGCGGAGTGCAATTGTAGGCGAGGTCTTACAAGTTCCAAACTAAGCAAGTTTTCGTACAGTTGAGGTTAAGCTACAGTCAAGTTAAAGTTACACGTTTTAGTACAGTACAGTCAAAGTTAAGCTGCTCTACTAGCACACTCGCTAGATAGTTAGTTTTAGATAGTTAAGATTATTAATCAGTTAGTGTAAATTAGTATCAGTCAGGATCTGTTAGCTCACAAAACTGTTAGTTTTCGCGAAGCAGGTCTGACTTTCATATATATTCTTATATACCTTATCATAAACATTTATTTTGATTAATCAATTCACAACGAAATTTAAAAACATCATGAACACAAACGGTGAAGTTAGCAATAGTCAAAAAATTAAAATCAAATGCACGGCCTGTCCGGGCTGGTGTTACTCTAAGTCTAACTTGCGTACTTGTGCATGGTGCGAGGGCCATGTGCATAGGAAATGTTTCCAGGAAACGTTAGGTTGCATCAGATGTTGCGAATCAATGATTCCAGGTTACAATGTAGAGACATTCGATCTCTATGATAAGTTCGACCACCTTCACGCATCACGTCTTAGTTTCAATCCATATGATCGCTCGCACGTAATAAATTCCATCGGCAATAGTTTAGATCAGAATAGTGACATGAACAACGAATACTGGAATGAAATAAGCGAAATCTTAACCAAGTGCAAATATCAAGAACCTAAAAACGTCACAAACTCCGCCAAAGACGAGTTGAAAGTTTTTTCATTAAATATACGATCACTAGCAAAAAACATAACATATCTTAGAGAAGAAATCCACACCTTCTCAAAATGTGATGTGTTATGCTTTAATGAAACTAACTGTAACATTGATAAGCTGCCTAATGGTATTGATGATATCACAATCGAGGGTTTTCACGAACCTGTTATACAAGCACCTTTACGAAAATCGGGGAGAGGAGGTGGGTTAGCAATCTATATAAACAAACGTGTGTGCGATTTTGATAAAATTGAACGTCTTGACTTAGCTCTGGATCCTGAAGACATGAGTGGCGAGTTCCAACTAGTCAAAATTCATAATTGCAAAGGTTTTAACAAAACCAAGGTTATAGTAAATTTATACAGATCACCGTCAAGAGATACAAATAAGTTCATTAGCTTACTCGATCACGTACTTAATAGACTAGATAGACACTCACGCAAACACGTTATGTTTCATGGCGATGCAAATATTGATCTTATTAAATATGACACTGATTCCTCAAGCCAGAACCTCATTGACACACTGGCAAAATATGGTTTTGTTCAAACTGTTTCAAAACCAACACGAGTCACTGACCACAGTGCCACCCTTATTGACCATGTGTACACAAATAATATTGAAAACACATTAAGTAGCAACGTGTTAACACTCGACATCTCCGATCATCTTGCAACGTTGACCACTATAAAGTTACGTGCAGTATCACAAAAGCACACCACACACTCAAATAGGACCGATACCACAAAATACCGTGAAACACGTACTATGAATGAAGCCAGCAATGCTATGTTCAAGGAGCTATTGGAAGGGGAGACGTGGGAGGAAGCGCGGGAATCAGGCAGTGCGAGTGAACAGTATGACAAGTTCTCAGAAATCTACATGAAACATTACAACACTGCATACCCCGTTAAGAGTAATCGTAATCGTCGTGAAAATGAACGGTCTGATCCGAAGCCGTGGATACTTCCATGGCTCGAAACAGCTTGTGCACGTAAACAGCAATTATACCATCTTAATATCACAGAGCCTACTGATGAAAACATAGCTGCATACGACAAAATGAAACTATTTTGCAGTAAACACGTTAACATTGCCAAGGAGCGGTATTACAAAAAACAATTTGAAAAATATCAGGACTGTTCCAAAAAACAATGGGAGATAATCAACGGCCTGCTAAACAGAAAAAGACGGGGATCTGATCAAATCAGATTGAGGGATACTGACGGGACGATCTTGAGTACTAACTCGGCAGTCGCTGAAAAGTTCAATGGCTACTTTTCCAGCATCGCAGCCAACATCAAGTCTCAGATCAGTTCCCGACAGACCTTCGATCCTGGGGGGTTCCAGGAGTATCTGACCGGGTCATGTCCAACGTCTATCTACCTCGAACCTACTGGGCCCACCGAGATTCATAGAATTATTATTGGCCTAAAAAATAAGGCAACTCTCGATTCAAAGATTGAGCCCTTGAAAATAGCCAGCACATGCCAAAATTTTTTATGCGCCTTAGCAAAAGTAGTTAACACATCTTTTGTAGAGGGAGCTTTCCCTAAAGCTTTGAAAACGGCAAAAGTTACACCTATACACAAAGGAGGTTGTAAACTCGACGTAGCGAATTATAGACCTATTTCGCTTCTGGGCTCGTTCTCAAAAATTTATGAAAAACTAATGCACAGACGCGTTTTAGAATTTCTCGACAAGAATAACTCTCTATTCGAGAATCAGTACGGATTCCGACCAGGAAGATCATGTGAGCACGCACTTCTCAATGCTCAGAGCTCTATTCTGCATTCTCTAAATAAGAACCAAATAGCACTTTTATTACTTTTAGACTATAGCAAGGCATTTGACGTCCTAGATCACGCGACATTACTCAGGAAACTTGAGCATTACGGTATTCGTGGCATTGCGTTGAAATGGTTCGAGTCATACCTCAGTGGTCGCAGTCAATTTGTTTCCCTAAACGGCTCCAATTCATCATTAGAATCTATGATATACGGTGTTCCACAAGGGAGCATATTAGGCCCCCTGCTCTTTGTCATATATATCAATGACTTACCAGGAATCAGTAACCTAGCTAAATTTATATTATACGCAGACGACGCAAACATTATTATCACCGGATCAAATGTACAAGACATTATATCCAAAGTAAACCACCTCACTGACGTGTTGATAAAATGGGTTAACTCGAACGGCCTAGCTCTTAATCTGAAGAAGACTTGCTATATGGTATTTTCAAAAAGACGGGTAGATCTATCGTCTCTACAAGTAAGTATCGACAACTCTCCTATAGAACGCAAAACGGAGGCCAGGTTTTTAGGAGTTATCGTCGACGACAAACTAAAATGGGCCAGCCACATCCGAGCCGTCAAAACAAAAATGTCACGGTTTATAGGTATTATGTTCAAAATAAAACGCAAATTACCAATCAAAGCACGCTTACAGATCTTCCAAAGTTTTGTACAATCTCACTTAAATTTCTGTTCACTAGTTTGGGGCTTTGCTGCAAAATCCCATATTGAATCACTGTTCACTAAACAAAAGCAGGGAATACGAGCAGTTATGCCGGGCTACGTGAATTACTATTACAAGGACGGTAAGCTTCCGGATCATACTAAAACTACGTTTAAAGAGTACGAAATATTATCTGTACACGGGGTCATCATAAAAAATGCTCTGACTCTGATGCACAAGATAACTTACATGCCTGGCCTTCTGCCGTCGTCGATAAAAGACTTATTTCCTCCCGATATACCAAAGTATGGCACGTCTTATGACGACAATATCGACTGGCTAACAACGTTCTCTCAACCAGATCTACGCGCTAGTGTTCTGTATAAAGGTCCTATATTAGCTATTACCGAGCACAACATTAGTCGCATAACTTGCCCATCTAGCATTTTCTCAATAAGCATATATAAGAAATCAGCGAAGCGTGTAATGATAGAACTACAAAGCTCAGGAAACGATGAAGAATGGCCACCTTTTCTGTTACATAATTTACCCGGGCTACGTAAATCGACAAGATCAGGCACACAACAAATCAACTACCGAGAATAAACTAAGGAATAAATAAAACCAGACGGTTAGCACACTAGTCACTATCAACCATATGCCACTTTTTTCACTGCCCATTCACTGTCATATTAATAGCATCATATAGATAGCGCTAGCAGGTGCTGATAAGACATGGGCTCAGTTATTCTTTTTTGTTTTAACCTCAAGTAGCTTATAAAACAGTGCGTGTGATCATCTGTCGTATCAAATCAAATTATTTGTCACTATATGATAATAAATCATGATATACAAGTTTTAATTTTTAAAGTTTCTGTTTTTGTTTTTAATGAATAGACGTAATCAACATTTTTAATTTTCATATTCACGCATATTAAATAAAATTATATTGTTATGTATTATATTATTTTGTAAACATTGGCCGGGTATAAAAAACCGGTCCCCAAACAAACAACAATTTATCTGGCTAGAGGGGCTGTATTTTTTGCTGATTACAGACTTAATTCTGCTGGCAATACGTTGATTCACCATTTTTAATATAATCAAATCGATGATCTAATGCAGTTGCAAGTGTTCAAGTGTTGGCACAAATTGCTGAAATTCCGCTGGCCGTTTCAGATTGCAGAACTGGAAAAGCTACCACCGTTCTGCAGAGTGAAAAGCAGCTCAAATATGCTAAGTTACATGGGACATAAAATTCTAGGAATGAACACCATCCAACTCTACATGAAGGTAAGTCGTGTACAGGGATTACGTAAGCCGGCCCTGTGGGTTTATCAGTGTTCGCATTCCTTACGTTATTAAAATTCAATCAAAGTAGGGTTGTTATGCAAACTGAAATTCCATGGCAAATTATCAGGATTCCGTCCGAACCGAAAAGTCTGGTTTTACACAGTGCGTTGATCCGACCCTACAGTTTTATATTACAAATCAAATACCGTAAATATTTCAATTGACAGGTACCGGGATCCCGCACTCCAGGCCACCAGGAAAATAACAATATGTCAGCCTTGAACCTGAATATCGGACCCGGTGACTGCGAATGGTTTGTGGTTCCTCAGGAGTATTGGGGAGTGTTTCATGAGATCTGTGAGAGAAACAAGATAAACTATCTTACAGGTAATGGGATCTGATGAGTCATTGTGTGTAGAATAAGAACGTGTAGCCATACAATTGAAGTGAAATTTGCTTCATAGTTGGAACGCGCAAAGTTGTTTTTATGTTGAGACTTTTTCGCGCCAAAGCTTATTTTCGCGCGCGTCACCAATTTTGCTGCGCGTTTTGGTTTTTCACCATTCGAGAGCAACGTGCAACAATATCGTGTCGAACTGATACTTGTTAGTTGTGATATAGCTACTACTCATGTTGTAAACTTACAACGCTCTAATCTTAATTGTATTGTTCTGCAGGATCTTGGTGGCCGCTGATTGAAGACTTACACAAGGAGAATATACCGTTCTATCGGTTCTTCCAAAGACCGGAGGATTTGGTTTGGATTAACGCTGGGGCTATTCATTGGGTTCAAGCGAAGGGATGGTGCAACAACATTGCATGGAACACAGGTTAATATCACAATTACCGCGAAGGTCTTCGAAATCATTAAATGTGATGCAGAAGTCGTCGCCGGCCAACGTCAGGAAAAGTTCTTTTCTATTGTTTCTCATGCTGTTTTATGGCGTTACTGACACTCAAGTTAGGAGCAAACACCAATAATAACTTATCAAAATTGACCACCATTCAACATAACATGCACTAGTTTTACTTAGTTCTTGAATAATTTTATTGTTTTAAGTATGAACATGTATTTTCACACCGTTTCTCAGGTCCTATGACGCACCAACAATATGTGAAAGCTTACGAAAGATATGAATGGAATAAATTGAAAGCAGTTAAAAGTATCGTACCAATGAATCATCTAAGTTGGAATATGGCAAGGTAACTTTTAGATTACCATATAAATTCTAACAACATGGCTTTAATAATCTTACTTCTATCGTTATCAGTTATATGAATTAAAATCGTAAAAGATCAATTCTACTTTAATACTCAGAACTTCTACAGATTTGCAAAGATTTACGATAGTCAGCTAGTAGCACAGATCAGACATTGTCTAGAGGGTACTCTCAACACCTGCAAAACAATCAAAGAAAAACTTACAAAAGAAGGTTAGTATTATATAATGTAACGTGATGGAAATATTTTAAACGGGTCATATCCTGTCCAAATCCAGGATGCATAACATGAAGAATTCGTTGTAATTTTGTATGAAAAGCATTAATACTCATTAAGTTTATTCGGTGGGTAACCGTCTCTTGAATCATGTACTTTCTCCCTGTTTCACGTTCTGATAAATTGGTTGGAGCTGCTGCATGGCCTGTTTCAAATTCAACAGTTCCATCGGAATTGGAAACAAGATCGTCGAATTATGCCCGCTTCCACTCGCAATGTTTGTTACTGTTTGAAGGTACCTCAGCTGAATGGCATAAGGAGAGTGCATCATGGTGTCAGCTGCCACTTTTAGCGCCCCTGCCGAATTCTTCTCTCCCTCCGCTGCAATCTCCTTTGCTCTGGCCTCTCTGGTTGCCTCTGCCTCAGCTGCCATTGATCGTTGAAGGTTGACGGGTAACCGGACATCCTTTATCTCGACCCTCTCCACCACCACGCCCCAGGGCTCAGTAGCTATATCCAGGGTGTGGTGCATGCTATTAGATATCTCCTCTCGTTCCATCAGCAGCTCGTTCAGAGATCTAGTTCCCATGATATTGCGGAGTGTTGTCTGCGCGAGAAGTCGGGTGCTCTTCTCCACATCTTCCACGTTACACACGCTAGCTACTGGGCAGTTGATCCGGAAGTAGACGGCTGCATCAACTGATACCGTCACTGAGTCACGTGTCAGAGCTTCCTGGGGAGGAACTACAAAGGAGAGGGTCCTCATGTCCACCACTGTCATCTCATCTAGACACGGTACATAGAAACACAGACCTGGTCCCCAGGCTCCGCCTCTGGTTATCCGACCCAGTCTGAAGATTACTGCTCGCTCGTACTCTGGGATCACCTGAAATTCAGTCATTTCAATCTGATTTTCTGTGAAATTGGTATTATTCGTTTTTAAGTCAATCACTAAAATCGTATCAAAATTACATAATGGTATACGGAATAAATATAACGGACGAAGCAAAGTACCTTTAAGCAAAAGAGTATAGCGATAGGAAAAAAGCAAACTATCAGGAGGTAGGACAGAAAGACCAGCATCTCACCGATGCACCCGATATTAGTATCATTTCTATCCAGACCCTTGAGTGGTATCACGGCCCCCACATTTCTCCTCGGTGGAGGATCATTATTTCTTTGTAGCCTCTCTTGTGGAACACTCTGTGCGGACCTTAAAGCGGCACTGTCCAGCGTGTCTCGTATGAACTGACTTTTCTCCTCAGGTTTGAGGAATGCTGTTGAACTATTTGGTAGAGGCGTCCTCACGTAATTGCTTTCGAGGTTTCGAGAAATCGTCGAGTTCATAGTCAAATTTTTGGAGTACTTAGCATCCCAGTCTTTTGAAGAGCTCTTTTTCAAAATCCCCAATGAAAGCGTTTCCGATGAAACCACGCATTGACTCAAATGATCAGTCGACAAAAGCTTTTCGTGCTCATCCGTAAAGCAAGTCTCCTCGAATGAACATTGCCCTTCTTCTTCGTCATGATTCTCTTTGGTAAGCTTCAATGATTTGGGCGTTCCTAAACTGATAACATCTGATTTGTCAGGCTCAAAACGCGCTGTTTTCTCCATGACCTTGGGTAGATAATCGTAGTCACTCAAACTCATGATACTGCAACAAACGGACTATATGAACAATGTACTGGGTTAACGTTTGCGTTATGCGTACTTCTGTCCGTTACTGATCCTCAAGTTACTTCAGAAATATACCGGAACCATCTCAATTAGTCTCCTACTCCGAACTTAACCCCAAATTGTTTAGTTACTGTGGTTATTTGTCTCTGTGTACCAACTACCAAAACAGAATATGTCATTACAATTATAGATTGATGAGGAAGGCTTTGCCAGCGGTTTGAGTATTTTCAGAATAATGAGAATTAGTATCGTTAAGAATAGTTACTGGACCTGATGACATCTGCTAGTTGACTGTTAATTCTTAGCTTGTGTCCATCACAGCGCCTCCAAGAAATCATATTTTAAATTCTGTGATAGAGGACTATCATAATTCCTTAAATACCATAACATGGTCCCCCCATCCTGACCCTAATGCCCAGTTAATATACCCAATTAGCTAATCTTATGAAGTAGTCCATATGGTTTGTATTTTCTACATCACATGTTATTTCTTATAATTTAAACATTTTATATATCTATGATGCATATGGAAGACCTTCATGACTATATTTATTATTATATGAAAAATACATAACTATACAAACATCTTCTACCTAATATACAATACAATGCAATTATCTAATTTTTTATATATTCTCATCAGCAATAAATAACACAAATTCCTGCGACGTTTATTGGATTATTTCCTCATAAACTGACTATAATTTTACCCGGCAGGTATAGAAATCCAGTTCCACGGACGAGAGAAAGAAGAATGGACCCACTACTGTGAGATCTGCGAGGTTGAGGTTTTCAACATCCTCTTTGTGGAGAATCGCAAGGTTCATTGTCAGAATTGTGCCAGGAGCTCAAGCAAAACACTTGACGGATTCGTTGTTCTTGAGGAGGTTAGTTGTTAGTTGTTAGTTGTTAGTTGTTAGTTGTTAGTTGTTAGTTGTTAGTTGTTAGTTGTTAGTTGTTAGTTGTTCTTGAGGAGGTTAGTTGTTCTTGAGGAGGTTAGTTGTTAGTTGTTCTTGAGGAGGTTAGTTGTTAGTTGTTCTTGAAGAGGTTAGTTGTTAGTTGTTCTTGAGGAGGTTAGTTGTTAGTTGTCCTTGAGGAGGTTAGTTGAAGATAAATTAGAATTTGTATACACATTTAATTACAAAGTGCAAACTTCGAGCAATGCTTGTAATTTTGAATGACGTGGTGTCCAGAGGGGTTCAAAGTGTTTAACTTATCATCCCAGTAACAGGCGGACTGTATGTTACTGTATCTAGAGTATAATAGACTACCGATGCCTCATTTTAGATTCAATAGTCACAGCATCTTAATAATTTCAGTACAAAAACGAAGAACTTGAAACCTGCTTACAGAAATTCAAACTAGCTGAACGACCTCCAGAAGCCAACGCCTTGGAAGACTATAACGTGGATATATCTAAATTACCCCCATCCCTGAGATACCTTTAGTTGAATAGGACTTCAGAAAGATATGATCATGAATATTCTAGGATATCTAGGATCTCATATTTGTGGTAGGCATGTTGTTGATTTTAGGTTAAACTTAAAGCACCATGTTCCATATGGTTGATAGAAGTTTTGACGGTGGCTCTGCCATTATTATATACCCGTGTTTAAGTAAAATTTGGCCCTCTACTTTTCTAAGTACACGTATTTTTAAGATTAATATTATATCGTATTATATATTTAAAGTCTCGAATTCTGTGACTCCAACTTGAAAACACACTTAATCACCAAGTTGTATGCTTTTATTATAATTTTAGGTCTATTTTTGAAGCATGATAAAGTTGGGAGGATGGCAAAAATGACTCCTTCATAATTGATCAATTTCAATATGCAAAATTAGACTCTTTATCGTACTCCTTAATATCGGTGCATCATTTGATGATTAAAAGTATTGTATTTCTAAACCTTATTTTCGTTTACTTAATAAATATTATCTTAAGTATTTTGAGTTTGTATCAATTAGGTTGTATTGATCGTTTTACGATATTTATAATATGTATTAAGTATTAAGAGTGTTAGTTTTAAGTATATTAAATACAAATAACTTAACCTTGGCATGGAATTTGAGTTTGTAAATTTTCTGAGAATTGTAGCATATTGTTTTGGAATTAGTACATATTTTACAGCATAAGTTTTTCTTGATGAGTTTTTCGATGATTACCGTACCGTGTTAGATATATATTATTTTGTACACACACACAACTTATCCAGTAATAGTTACATTTTGCTTACATGAAAGATGGCACAAGTTTATTAAGTTGAACATTAAATGAAACAGGAAATATTAATTATTTTATTTTGATTAGGAATATGTATTTGTCCATGAGACCTAGAAGGTCTAACTTGTCAGTGATTTTATTTAATTTTGATTGATGAGCTCTAGATTTAATAAGTTATCTTTAAGTCGTATAGGTTCTGTGCTCTAGGGTTCGCAAAGGTATGCCAGTATATTAGGCTCCTTAATTAATCTTGATATGTTACCGTAACGCATTGATTTTAGTATCCATTGAAATTAACGTAATGATGGTCTTGAATTATTGGGTTTAATGTAGATTGATGTTTTGGTTATTTGTTGTTGGATGAAAGTGATATTGCGAGAGATTCAGACGGCTGGAAATGGTATTGAGTGCTTGGTATTGAGTGTGTCAGTTTAAGGGATTCGTCCCTTTCTTTTTTCTCTGCAGCATTTTATTAATAGATGAGCTTATACTTAACATCTCACATAGTCTCTTTTAAACTGTTATCTACTATCCAATGAAGGCTTGTTTATAATTCGTATTACAAATTTAAGATTTAAATTAGCCAAAAATCGTCAAAAAATGTTTGTACGTATGGTGGCCTAAAATAAGTAAATCCAAGAAATTGAACGAATAACTTATCACAAATCCAAAATTATCACGAGTTTTCATGCATGATGGATACCGGCCGGGTTGTAGCCTTATTGCTTATAATCCACAGCCGCCAGAGATGTGCAACATGCAACGTGTAGCAAGGATCTCAGATACCTGGGGACCTCAGGCGCAGGCTATCATGTTCATAAACGAATAGACATTAGGCGGAATGACAGGCTGAGCGCGGCCCAGTAAGTATCTCAGTTTTTCTTTTCACTTATCAATTAAATGATCGAAAATTTAGGATGTGCAATACACATAGTTGGTTTCATAAACTGTCGAGTGTCGAACTGTCGCAAAGGCCCTTTTAGAAAAATGTCGAAGATCGAGTGTAAAGTGATTAATCACGTTCGAATAATTTAGCACCATCGCGCTCGACCATTTTAAAATAGATTAAAATTTGAAGGTTTATAACCTACCAGGACGCGCGCCGAGTTGGACTAGGAACAAATATTTTACGAGTATTACCCGTTAAATTAAAATTAAATACGGGATATTTGTACTGCAAGTACAACTGAGTTCCTTGCGTAAAATTGCAAAACATGCATTACCTATATCAATATACCTGGCACACTAGTCTTATCATACGTTGTAACCTTGTATGACCCGCCGCGCACGATCAGTGCAAGTGCGCGGCGATCAGTGCAATTCAAGTGAACTTGACCATTGTTAATGATCTGGCCCGGCGCGCGCTACTTCGTTACCTGGGGACCTCGGCCTCACCCAAAAAACCTTACCGCCTGCTGGGCTCGCTAGAGGTGATAGATTTTCAACAGCACGTTTGACGTCGCGCGTCACGTCAAGTTTACCTTTCACACGCTGTATTGAGCCTAGTAGTCATGACAACGACATTACTTCGCAAATGGCAAAGTTTAAAAGCTGTGATATTTTATTTAGCCCAAAATCAAACTTTTTGGTTTAATTCAGAATCTAAGTTGTCCCAAATTTGGCTCGTGGGGAGCCAACTTTAAATTTATGAGACGGACATTTTGTTGAAAACCGGAAGTTCCTATTTATTTTACTTTGTGAGATATACCCCAGCCGGTAGGGTTTCCTGGGCAGGCTATTATGTTCATAATGACAGGCTGAGCGCGGCTTGACATACGTTGCATGCCACTTTTCGCGCGCGAAGCGCGCGCCGCCGAATCTCTGATATTTGGATACGAAACATGTATCAAAGCGCGGCCCAGTAAGCTACTTCGTAGCACTTGCCATTTCGAGAAGAAAGTGGCGCGCGCTACTTCGAAGAAATTTAGACGAGCTTAATTGATTCACGATGTCAATCCTTCGCAGCTCGGTGAGGCACAGTGGTGCATCTCGCCGATCTACCGAAGATGGTGGTTGCGAGAAGCATTATTTGATGCGCGCGCGACCCAGTAGTGCATCGCGCTACAAGCAACAAGACGAGTAACATCCGTCAAAAGTAGACTGGCGTTGTATCACTAAGTTATACAACGCCAGTCCATGTGCGCGGCGCTCTTTTCAAGCTTCCTGAACAAAAGAAGATACGTGAGACTAGAGGAGCAAGCAATAGACTAGCATGCTAAATAACGCAAACACAGTTTTTAAACTTTAAATTAGGTCAAAATAAAAAATTGGTGAAATAAAATAATTTTTAAAATTTAAATTTTTGTACACACAATTCATTTTATTTTTTAATACTCTGGTGCTAAATCATAAGCACATTTTAAAATATGTTTTAATCAATGTATTAATCAATGTTTTGTTTAACATTATATATATTATAGCCGAAAAATTATTTTAAAATCAAACTTAGATTTTAAGCGCGCCGCGCATATTATTGCCAATTTACATCATAGTACGAAAATCGAGCGCTGAAACAAATATTCTCATATTCTCAAAAATAACTTCGGAGTTTTCAATGTTACCGGTACATTTCAAAACTCTTTTCGCATCTATCTGATTATCGTTTTAATGTGTGATTTAGTTGTTTATTATGTTTTCATGTATATTTAATTAATTAATTGTATATTGTATCCTCATTAAAGTGGATACGAATATCAATTCTAATTTTTTTTAATGAAAGAATATTCAAACAATATATACATACTATAGCAATGGCCAATTGGCTGACTATAAGGTCAAGGCCTGAACAAACAATTTTTTAAATAGTCAAGTGATGCTAAAGCAGAGCACAAATGTGTAATAAGTTAATAGATTAAAAAACTGATTCATGTGATTCATTGCGCAGAGCACAGATAAAAATACTGATTCAATGATTAAAATTATAGCTGTGAGTGTCAATAAATTACTGTGTCATAAAAAAGGAACGATGTACACGTGATCTGAGATACCAGATCCTTTTGATATCTCAATATCAAAAGGATAGTGTCTAGAAACATTCATAGTCCATGGTGGCAGGTATCAATTCTAATTCCCATCATTATTATTATGTGCTTTACCCCTCAAAAGTCTACGTCATATGTAAATACTTTGTATCTTCGCCATACTATATCGTCGTTGGTCGATACTGAATTGGGTTTCATGAAATCCATAACGGTTAGGCTGTTAGATATGTAAGATTCGACGGAATTAGAGAAACAAAGTTATTGAAAGGGGCTGAATTGCGCCATTTCGAAATATTCAAGGAGTTCATATTTACAATTTTTCCGAAATTGATTTAGTTAAATGACCATGTAATTTTCTTGGTCATAGATATAACCACTCTATGACTAGCGATGGTCATTCTAGTGCAATGGTCATTCTAGTGCTACACCTGCAATGTGCATCACATGGCATCCTTTTTTAATAAACCAGATTGACAGAGCTGCTGAATTTTTTTCCCTACTCTTGCTGAAGGCAAAAAGATCGTAGGGAATAAGTAATCGGGTTTGGATATATGAGGTGGCCCGACGGTCCTACGATGATCACAAAAGCCTGCTCCTTCGCAATATAGACCACTCCCCTATAATTATGTGTATAAAAGGAGTCTATTTTGCGCGCGCGACGCCTGTTATGTGTTAATTAATGACAGGCACAGCAACCAGTTTTTGGTGCTTGACGAATGTTACACCGGCTGTTACACGGGTTTCCATCGGGTTAAAATTCACTCTAAATTTTCATAAATATAGCATATTATTCATCTGAGCGGATCAATCATCAATATAAGTGTTATTTTGGTGAAACAAGCTTAATAAATTACCGAGTGATAAAATTCAGCAAGTCAAAACAAATTAAATCGTGATATCAGCTGATATGATAAACTCGTGGCTGATTATTTAACAGTTGATCGACACTGGTAAAAAGCGAAAACATAGTTGAGAAAAGATGTTACCTTACATTTACATTCAAGAAGCAACTAAGATCAAGATTACGGTATGGTTTTAAAGTATCTTATATCAAATCAAAGGCTCGATAGTCGATAGTGCTGTAGATGTGTAGAGTAAGCATCAAAAGTATTAGTTTACGTCAGATACAAATAATAACTAAGATAAGACAGAATATTGTATTACAGTCAATACGATGCAATAATATGACGTGACATGATACGCATCGTTAACACGAAACAAAATCGCGCAAAAATGAAATGATCTACAACCAAACCACATACAGATCAACGGCAACACTTCAGATGCGCGCAGAATTTTACAAGTTTTGCACACCTAATATAATGTATTTATAATGTATAAACGATTATCACGTGCGCCAAACACCACTCTGGGATACAATAAAGTAGAACAATTACATTGTAGGCAGTAGGGAAATTTGATCGTTCCTGGTGTTACCGCGGCGAAATTCTTGTTAAATCCAAAGCATATCATAAATTTTGTTATTTTCTGCTAATGCACACAATATTAGTGGGAGATATTTAACCTTTTGTTATCATGATCTGATTGTATCACCCACGAATGACAATTGTTAACTTGACTGATTAGAGTAGCAGATTATCCTTTCATAAATGTTCTGAATCTGTCATATTCTTAGGGTACATGCTTTTGGAATGAAAATATGAGGATATCGAATCCTCAGCTACTGCCTCTATGCCAATCATTATGGCTTCCAGTCACATTTAGAACACAGATAAGACCACTGTCTCGTTGGCATGCTCAACAGTCTAGTGATGTCTACATTAAAGCAGCAAAAGCAGAAAGTTATCGCTGCAGATCAGCTTTTAAACTTTTACAGATCAATGAATCATTTAGTTTATTCAAAGGGAAGAAACGTGTTGTTGACCTTGGTGCAGCACCAGGCTCATGGTCACAAATTGCAGTCAAATTGGCTAGAAAAGAACCTTCTACAATTCCTGTGTTGTCGATAGATTTACTTGACTTTGAACCTGTTCCTGGAACTATTCATCTTCCAAAGACCAGTGTTGAAAACACAACTGTTATAAACAAAGCTTTGGAAGAAATGTGGGGAGAAAATAAACCCCAGTTGGTGTTGAGCGACATGTTACACAATGTCTCTGGTGAAAACTCTTTTGATCACATAAATTCATTAAAACTATGTTCTCATGTTCTTAAATTTTGCTTTATTCATTTAGAAGATAGAGGATCAGTTGTCATGAAAATTTACAATGGCCCTCATGAACCCGAATTCATAAAGCTTCTCCAATTCTATTTTAAACGAGTTAAAAGATTTAAGCCAGATGCTTCAAGGAAATCATCAAAAGAACACTATATAATAGCTAAAGGATTTCAGAGAGATGTTTATGATAAGAAACATAGTAGACCAGAAATTCAAGATGACCTGAGCGAGGAGTTAGATTGAAATACAGCTTACTGATTTAGTTTTTGATATATTTTTGATGTATGTTTGTTTGAATGATTTTCCGTTACACTGTCTGTAAATTTGGCTACTTCATCCAAATCATCCTATTAATCACCTTGGTCCCCGTCTCAATCAAATCAATTTGGCAATGTTTGATTAAATAAATAATTTTAGAAACATTCAAGCCTCTTTCAATTGCTTCCATTTATCGGGTCCCTTGATTTCTCAAGTAAAGCCCTTATTGTGACGATTTATGTATGTGTTATTTTTTAATATTGTCTTATTATGTTAAATATAACTTCAATTTCAAGTCAACTAACAAATTATTTATTTTACAGGAATAGGATGGGGTTCTTGCAACGGCTGGAGTTGGAAAACTTCAAATCCTATAAAGGATACCAAGTGATTGGGCCATTCACTAAGTTCTCTGCTATAATTGGTCCTAATGGAGCTGGTAAAAGTAATCTTATGGATGCCATCAGTTTTGTGCTTGGTGATAAAACATCCAACTTGAGAGTAAGGTCCCTGAAAGACTTGATACATGGTGCTGTTGTTGGAAAGGCAGCTGCTAATCGAGCTTATGTTACAGCTGTTTATCAAGAGTCAAATGGTGATGAGATTCATTTTACTAGGACCATCATTGGTAACGGTTCTGAGTATAGAATTGACGGCAAGGTCTTGAGTCCTCAAGAATACCAAGCTAAACTAGAAACTCTGGGAATTCTTATCAAAGCAAAGAATTTCCTTGTTTTCCAAGGTGCAGTTGAATCCATAGCCATGAAAACTCCTAAAGAGAGAACAGACTTATTTGAGCAAATAAGTAGGTCTGATGAGCTTAAGGAAGAATATGACAGGCTCAAAGACGATATGAACAAGGCTCAGGAAGACACAAACTTTTCTTACCACAAGAGAAAAGGAATTGCAGCTGAAAAGCGGGAAGCAAGAGCAGAGAAAGAAGAAGCTGACAAATTCCAAAATCTGACTAAGGATTTGAATGATACTAGACTTGAGTTTCAATTGTTCAAACTGTTTCACACTGACAGAAAGATAAATGGTTTGAAAGATGAACTAGCATCCATAAACAAACAGCTTCTGTCAGAAAATAGGAGGAAAGATAAAGTAGAAGGGCAGTTGAAGAACAAGAAATCCGAAATAGCAAAAATACAGCGTGAGCAACAAGTTTTGGAAAAGAATGTCAAAACTAAAGAAGTAGAATTGAACCTCAAAAGACCAAAGTACATAAAGACCAAAGAGAAAGTTGCACATTTGCAGAAGAAAGTGGACAACACCAAAAAGCAGATAACAAAAGCTGAGATGGCCAATGAGAATCATCAAATTGTTGTAGCTGATCTAGAAAAAGAATTGGCTGAGGTTCAGTCAATGATAGAAGCTTACGAAGAGGATAACCAAGAATCACAGGAGATAGAGCTGGAAGATACACAAATGCAGGAGTACAACACTCTGAAAGAAAGTGCTAGTCAACAAACCACTTCTTTGAGACAAACTTTGACCAAGATTAAGAGGCAGCAACAAAGTGATGAGGAGGCATTGGAGCAGACACAGCAAAAGCGAACTGATTTGGAGTCTCGTCAAGTCCAGCTCAATGAACAAAAAGGACAACTTGAGGAAAGAATATCGAAACTTGAACAGTATATTAACCAGAACAGCCAGACTGTAAATAAACTGAAGTTGGATAAAGACAAGCTAGCAGCCGAGATCCGTATTGCTAACACCAGACACTCAGAGATACAATCAAGTTTGGAAGGTGTTCAGTCAGAATTGAGAGATGCTAAGGTTGATAAGCACGAGAGTGCTAGAAATCAGCGTAGAGCTGAAACACTAGAAAGCATGAAGAGACTGTTTCCAGGTGTTCATGGCAGACTTATTGATCTTTGTGAGCCAGTACATAGGAGATACCAGATAGCTATTACTAAGGTTCTTGGAAAGAACATGGATGCCATTGTGGTTGACTCTGAACAGTGTGGTAGAGATTGTATCCAGTACATGAAAGAGCAAAGGTCTGAACCGTCCACTTTCATTCCCCTTGATACTATTCAAGTTAAGCCCACAAACGAAAAACTTAGAAATCTTGGTGGTTCAGCTAAACTTGTGATTGATGTTATAAGATACGATCCTCCCCAAATCAAGAAAGCACTTCAATATGCTTGTGGTAACTCACTGGTGTGTGATACAATGGAAGAGGCCCGGAAACTGTGTTTCAGTGGAACTGAGCGCCACAAAGCTGTTGCTCTTGATGGAACTTTGTTCAGCAAATCAGGTATTATCTCTGGAGGTGCCTCTGACATCAAGAGAAAAGCTAAAAGATGGGACGAGAAAGCAGTTGATGGTCTTAAGAGATCCAGAGACAGATATCTTGAGGAGCTGAAAGAACTCAACATCACTAGAAGAAAAGAACCTGAGCTCAATAACTTGACATCCCAGATTAATGGTCTTGAAACTAGATTGAAGTACTCTAAGCGTGACAGAGATAGTTCCATTGATCAGACTATGGCAGAATACAATAAAGAGGCTGCTACTATTGAAAATGAACTGGAAGATGTAAGACCAGTGCTGGAAAATCTAGAAAAGCAAATTGATGACCGTTCACTTAAAATCGATGAGAATCAAGACAAATTGAATGTTGTTGAGGATAAAGTGTTTAAAGATTTCTGCAAAAACCTTGGCATTGACAACATAAGGCAATATGAAGAGAAACAGCTATCTAAGCAACAGGAGAAGGCAAAGAAACGACTGGAGTTTGCAAATCACCAATCTAAGCTTCAATCTCAGCTTGACTTTGAGAAGAGGAGGAATACCAAAGGGCAAGTTAAGAAATATGAAGATCAGCTTATTGCTGATGAAGCTGGATTAGCAGAACTTGAGGATGAAGAGAAAGTACAGCTAGAATCGATTGAGCGAACCCAAACAGCTTTAACTGAAGCTATTGAAGAGAGAGAGAATTTCAAAGGTGAATGTGAAGAAACAGAGATCGAGTTGAAAGAGATAAAGAAGATACTCAGTGATCACATAAAGGAGATAACGAAGGTTCAGAAGCTTGTAAACACTCAAGAGGTTAATCTTGAGCAGAAAAGAGCAGAGCGCCATGGTTTGTTAAAATCTTGTAAACTTCAAGATATCAAGCTTCCTCTCAAACAAGGAAGCATGGATGATATCCAGAATCCTACTGGAACACAGACATCAGAGCAAGACAGTGAGTCATTGGGTACATCAACTGAAATTGATAGTTTAACAAGTCAAGCTGCTTCCAAGATATATGAAAAGGAATCTAAAATTATTTTGGAATACTCTGGGTTAGACACTGATCTCAAGGATTTTGTTGATTCTAAGGAGATAGAGCATGAACTGGAGAAGTTTGAGAAGAAAATTGAGAGTATGCTGAACACCTTACAACGTATTACTGCACCAAATATGAAGGCTGTGGAAAAACTTGATACCGTCAAAGAAAAGTTACAGGTAAAAACATCAATCACAATTTCATTGATGGATCTTGGTTTAAATATTTTAATACTCGTATCGTATTCTGCAATTTGAAAAACAAATATGTGCTAACACAATACTTTTATCCTTTAGCAGTGAGATCAAATGTCAAATTCAATACAGGTTGCTCCTTCTTTGATTACATAAAATTTGAATCGAAACCTGGCCTACAAAATATTAGAGCACACTATCTGATTTTGCCACCCTATGTACAATTATGATTAGCTGATACAAGTATTAATTTTTCAGGAAACGACAAACGAATTTGAGGTAGCGAGGAAGAAGGCCAAAAAGGCAAAGAATGATTTTGAAGCTGTCCAAAAGAAACGTTTCGACAGATTTATGGATGCATTTGAGCATGTATCAGCCAAAATAGATGAAATCTACAAGCATTTGGCCAACAGTCCAAGTGCCCAAGCATTCTTAGGTCCTGAAAATCCTGAGGAACCCTACCTCGATGGAATCAGTTACAATTGTGTAGCACCCGGAAAGAGATTCAGACCTATGGACAATCTTTCTGGTGGAGAGAAAACGGTAGCAGCTCTTGCCTTACTGTTTGCAATCCACAGTTATCAACCATCACCATTCTTTGTTCTTGATGAGATTGATGCTGCACTTGACAATACAAATATCAATAGAGTAGCTAGGTACATTAGAAAGCAGACCGAAGAAGATACACAGTGCATCATCATCTCCTTAAAGGAGGAATTTTACACAAAATCTGACTGCTTGATTGGAATTTATCCGGAAGAGGACAACTGTATTGTCAGTAAAACTCTCTCACTCGACCTCTCCAAATATGCTGAAAACCCTGCACGTGATGACGAGGAGGAGGAGGAAGTAATTTGAAGGGAAATTAATTGACCCCTGATAGATTGACTCTTTATGATGTTTAATTTGTTTTTAAGAGCATGTCATTTTCCATCCTACTTAACAAAATGAACTCACTGGATTGTTTGATCCCATGATAAAAACCAACTGTTATTGTCCATTGTTGAGTTAATTTGACGCTTTCAATGAATATCAAGCGATTGAAACAATTATTGGTAGTAGATAACAGATTATATGTCTGCTTTAAAAAATTTGTATCCTGAATGGTCTAAAAATATTTTGACTTAAAAGAGTTAAATGTGCAACTGGTACATGGCTTGCATGCTGCAGCCAACGTAATGACCTCGGTGAAATGTACAAGTCTTATCTTTGTGTTTCATGATTTAGCTACTAAACTTGAATATTCATATTACAGTTATTATTTCTAAATCATCTACTTTGATGCTCTATTCTATCTTAAAAGCATAATTTTAAAGAATTTGATTAACATTGAAAGATTAATAATTCTAAATGGTTATGCAATTATATGTTATAAGTTATAACAAGATGGCAGTGATTTTATTGTTTTCATATCACGACAGTTTGTCCTTCAAAATACATTACATTTTCCAAATCGCAGCCAACAAGTTTGTGAAGTTTCTTCAAAGTATGGTGCTGCTCTCAATTTTGATTTCAATTTCTATATTAAACGATTCTTGTCATACTCCTGATTTGTCATCAAATTCATTTAATGTATAACCAAACTTTTAGGAAGATGCCCCTGTTGCACAAGGCACCATATCAGTTTCGTTCAGTACCTCAGGACCTAAAAGATGACGATGAGGTCTTTCACATCCGAGCTACTAAAGAAGTCTTCAAGACATACGAGTATCCTTTTGATATGAAGTTAACTGAAATTAGTATTGAATATTTGGTTGCTTGTTTGGCATCTGAACTTTTACATCTTCCATGATCATAAAGTTGAGATGAAAGAAATATTAATTGAATTATTAACAGCCGCAAATTTAACTGATCCAAAATTCAAGCGAAATATCCTTAAAATAAACACAGAGAATACATTGCAAAAGCACAACTATACACCAAAGAAGTATGGTCATGCTCACTAACAGGCAAATCTAACCTCACCCTCGAAGAAGCGCTTGAAGCTGAAGAATCTGCCCGAAAGAAGCTGGAGAAGTTTCCAGTGGTTCTGGAGAAACCAACCCTGTTGCTGGCTCATCACTCCCAGAAAAACTTAGACTGGATGGCAACTACCCTTACTAATCAGTATAAAAGTCACTGTGTGACTGGAGAGATAGTGAAAGCGACGGTGGGAGAGGAACATAAGTAGGTTACAGTTAAAGTTGCCTTAAAATTGTTGGTTAATTTCAACTCTAATATTGAGTTAGCTTATTGTTAATGACTTGACGTCAATTCTTACATTTGTAGCAAGCTTTGATACAATAGATAAACAAACTACTATTTATAATTTCTTCAGGACGGGTAAGATAATGGAGTGCATCACATCTCTTGATGCTGAGGAGGGGGACGAGGACATGTACAGTTACAAAATAATGTTACTGGGTACAGGGGAACAACTTAATCATATTCCTCACCATAAATTAGAGTGAGTTAAGTTATCACCTTCTTGGATGATCAAATCATGCTGCTTTATCTCGTTTTTTGACAGCAGGCACGTATAATTTTTTGGGAATATTTAATCAACTATCAATTAAAATTATTATTTGATGCGAACTTTTTTCTTTCAGGAGAATATTACAGATGCCAAGTAAAGAACTGATAAAGATGTTTATACGTGAGCACACTAACAAACAATCAAACATGTTCAATGTAAAGAAAGACATGCTGGTGAAATATAATATCCCCCATAAGTTCGCTACCATCACATCTGTTTTGAGAACCCCTAGTAATGTAAGTTTACAGCCGTTACCAGTTCCACAAATATTGTCAAATTTTTTCATTGTGAGTTTTTATGAAAACGTGGCCATTTTACTGGTTTCATGAAAGTTTATGGCAGTTAAATGTAGTGTAAAACATAATATATCTTCTTAGGTCAAAAACAAAAGCAGTAAAAAGTCAGGACCGAAGATTATTAACTCAAAGGGGAGCGGCAGTGCAAGTAAAAGTAAACCTTCACCTAAAACTCCTTCCACTTCAAAACCTACTACAGGTTTGTGCTTATCTCTATTTTAAGCTTCTCTGAATTTGAAATAAATCCCTCCTAAATATCAATATGTTTTCCTTATTTTCATATCTTGACAACATTTACATTTTAATGTCGAAGCAGTAAACATTTACTTTGCGACACTGTGAGACAGCAGACTGGGTGAGGTGGTTATTATTATACCAAAATTGTTGCTGGAGTTATTACAGTAACCTTACGTGTTTTGCCTTGTTTATTAATTATGATGGCTGAAATTCCTAATAGGTAATGCTGTTTAGATTATGCAAACGATAAATACAGATTAGGCAATACGGGGCATAATTCAAATTAAGCTAATAAAACAAATAAATTTAGCCCCGAAGATGATAAAGATACATTCTGTTGGTGAAGATGGCAGACTTGTTACCACCTGGAAAGAAGTCCCGTCCAAAACTCCCAATAAATCTTCCCCCGTCAAATCTTCTCCAAAGAAATCACCCTATGCAGTAAGTGGAATCGTAAATTTTGTATATACAATTTCAAGCAAAATGCCTCTTTCGTGGAGTCCAATTTTATCAGCGGTTCCCTTCGAAAAATAAACATGTAACTTTTCAGATAATAGAAGAGATAGTAACGATAATATCAGACAGCGACTCGCCTAATAACTCGAGCGATAAGAAGAATAAAACCCCTGGTTCAACTGAAAAGCCAAAGAAAGCTCCACTCACCGAAGAACAGAAGAAAGAAAGGAAGAAGAAACGTGTGGAAAACTTGGAAATCAGAGAATTCACAAATAAAGTGAAGACGTTGGTGGAAAAGTACAAGGATCAGATCGCACCAAAGGTACTGTAACCCATTTCAAATATTTTCCCTACAAGTACAAAGAGTTTAAATTTTCTAATTTAAACCTTCCAATTTCAATATTCTGACCCATCTCTCCGAAAAGCTCAACTTAGTAAGGCCCAAGTCTTGCGCATAAATCATCCCACCCGGCTTCTCGTTCTTCTGGCCATACTGACAATAGTGTGCCTCGCACGAATTCCTGTAAACCATCATGTTTGTTGCTGGGCGGGCAATTCAGTCGCACTCTTTGCAGCATTCAAGAAATAAACGTAGCGCGCGAGGTAAATGAAATGGTTAGAGATTTCAGTGTTTACGTTTGTCGATGTTTGCGGAAGAGGCGTAAACGCGGGCACCCATTTTAATCTTCATGTAAGAGGGTCTTGTGAAAGAGGCCATTTATTTTAGGCGGGCGCCGCGCAATGAGACTTTCCCGGGGTTTGAATTTTACAAAACAAATGGTAGATAACCAACTATTCACGGATCATTTCAGTTATTGTACCTAGCGGCAAGGCGGAAATAACATATGAATATTTTTCAGGGTGCTAACGCATCTACTCCCACAAAAGGAGGAATGAAGCAGTCGTCTCTTCTCAGCTACACTAACAGAAATTCCATATCCTCTACGATCAGAGAAATGTAAGTTTGCGTACGTGATGAAATAAACGAAATTTATTCTCCAGCTTCTACATGCGTCATACATGGATCGTTTCCGGTTCGCTTTGGTAGAGTATAAAGATTTCTATCATGCGGTCGAGCAAACGATGACTTTCACAAGGGACTGGGACCCTGGGTCCTGGAAATTGTCACCCCTTACACGATATAAACCGTTCCCAAACCTTGAGCTCGACCTGTTCCTAGTCTACAAAATGTAATTATGATAATATCTTTCCGGCTTAAACATCAAGATAATTCGATCCATAATGATAACCAAAATTTTTCTTCAGAATTGAAGCTGAAGATAACGGCTACAGAAGGTCCCTAATAGTGAACGATCTCGCTAAGTCCATGACCAGCAATGTATCAGAGAAACTCCCATTTGCTACGCCTGTCAAGTCGTTGCTGTTAGAAAAGAGGGAGAAGCTTCTAGAGAGGGAGAGGCTGTAAGTGGAGATAATAAAAAGAGTTTCAGTTACATCGAATATTATTCACCAGAATATCTACTTAGAACTCGAGGTGTTCATTCACTTTTTCTTTCCTTCATCTGTTTTTGCGCTAGTTGATCAAGAATAATTTTCAAACAGAACGAAGATGACACTTGAAGAACGGGAGAAGTATATCCGAGAGAAAGAAGAGTTGAGAATAGCAGGTCTTCAGAAAAAGAGAGAAGAGAAGATGGCAGAGCAGCAGCGGTTGAAGGAGGAGAGGATGAGACAGAGAGAGGCAGAGCGTGAAGCAGCGAGGCAAGCAAGACTCGCTCAACAGGCTCTAGAGAGGGTGAGATGCTTTTATTATATCGTAGCATGATAGGCTAGTTGACTCAAGAAAATAGAAATCTATACAGTATACATAAATGTTATAACATGTATGTATACTATAGAGATAATTTTCCGTTCCAAATATTGCATATATTGTATAATGTATATATGTTACTTGTTCCATGGCGAGATCTCCATTCAATTGAATTAGTCCGCATCCACGGTGTCATAATCGTGTACTATAAACCTTATACAATTTCAGATAATAATAGATGATCTGTCACTGGATGACAGCAAGGAGCTACCACCCTACATCCCAGTAGATTTACCATCGGGCATTTCACCCGAAGCCTTCCCTAAGTTAGCGCTCGTTGCAGATGCTATTCATTTCTTTAAACATATCTTCACTCAGCCTGAAGATGATCTCAACTATAATTATGGTATGTTGATGCACTTTTTGATTGCTGAGTAATTTGGCACTGACCCCCCCCCCCCCACTGATCGTTTCATTTCATTTCATACTTTCGTACAAAATTTAAATTATCTGTCCGGCAGATCTTATCTTACAAGCTAGTTTGGAAGGGCCAAGAGGTCATAAAGTCCTGTCAAACCTTCTCATCAGTATGTTACAGACGCTCGGACAAGAACTTAGGGATAAGGTTATAATTATTTTTTAAATCGTGGGAAGACCCAGAACAGTTTCTAATCTTGCTAGAGTAGAAAACGATTATTAACAGCGCTTTAGATTGGCATGATTCATAGATGATACATCCTACTATTATATATTGTTGATGGAAATTTCTTCTGTTTTTGTTTGCATTGAAGTTGACCACAGATATTACGACAGGTTAAAATTCCTCAACTCGAGGTACCGCTCAGTACAGTTGATTTATCGGAGTTCAACATTGGAGCTTGTGTTCTTGTTTATATCACGTGAGTTCCTGTGTTTGTACCGTAAAACACAGCAGCTATTATTTTGTATAGAATTTACCGTGTAATGGCAATGATGTATCTATGTATTTTAGTAAATGGTCATTAGAACCACCGGCACCGTCCGGGCCCAAACAGATACTTTTATTAAATTCTGCAATATCAAATAAAATCCACTTTATATTAATTGTCTCTCCCCTAGATACCTCTTGCAACAAAAGGGATACGAAGATTCAGAACTGGACGATATCGCCCAAGCTCTACAGCGAGCTGAGTTCTACGACTTGACCCCCTCTCAGAAGATCCACGTCCTCTTTGTTTTGGGCAATGAGATCTTCAAGACGGGCACTTTCAATGCTGCTATCCAGGAGAATATTGACAAGACCACTCAACTTAGGTAAGGAGGAGTATTTATCATTTAGGGCTTTGATCAGACGTATTAACTGTCACGTGACTGAGGTAGCGCAGGTCAAACTAGCTGATGTGGCTAATAGAAACCAAATTGAGCACACTCATATCCGTCTGTGCCGAGTTGAACCGTGGATGTGAAGGTTATATTCTCACAGTTCTTGCCAGGTTCTATTAGTATAATTATCTTATATAGTTTCCAGTTTTATTTGCTGTTCTTTACCGATATTTTATCTTAGATCATAGATAGTGAAATAAAATTATAGCGCACTTTAACAAGTTATAAACTCAGTTTTTAACAATGAATTATATCTAGAAATAGTAAATAGTACAATACATAATAGGCAATATAAAACAATAACATTCTTGAGCTCATTCAATATATCCGACAAACTATTGTCCGTGTTCGATAGGAGCTCATTCAGCGCGATAATATCCTTTTTTGTAGGATTTCTTTAAACTCTTGCCTCCTCAAATCCCGGGTCACGTTCTGTTGCTTCTTTTTGGTTCAGGCGTGTCTTCCACCGAGAATCTTCTTTTTCTTTCCAGCCAATTCAAGGTGTAGCTGTGCGGCCTGTGTTGAAGGACCAGGCTTAGCAGCCTAAGTGGAAGTGGGCTCTACAGCCGGTGTCGGAGGAGCAGACAGGTCAAACAATTCCGATGGTGAATCAGGAGGTTGTTGTTATACGAGAAGTAGTCATGAATCTCTGCATCATTCACGCCAACCTAAACAGAGCCATAAACGGCACGTAGTCCCAACTAAATCTTGTCCATTCAGTTGTGAAACTCCTTGTCGATCGGGAGAAAGAGCAATGATAGGTGAGCTGGAGCTCACCGTGGAGCCAATTTGTGCATCAAAATCAAAACGTTTCAGATCTTTTGCCGGTGCCATCAACTCTTCCTTGGCTGACATCGTAGTTGGTAATATCAGAAATTGCTGTACCACCAGGATCCCTCCAGCTGGAGCTCACCGTGGAATCTTCTTTTTATTTCCAGCGAATTCAAGGAGTAGCTCTGTCTCAGATGTTGTATAATTTCTGGAACGTTTCTTTGGTTCTTTTCCTGATTTCGTGGCCATGTTGAAAAAATAAAAGCGACTGAGTTAATGATCGTTTGATTGACTGGAACTAAGCTTGAACGTCTGCACCTTGATCACAGAGATTACTTGAATGTTTACTGTAGATGATTCCGCCATCTTTCACAAATTCTTTCTGACCTCTGTGAAATTTTAATTAGAAGTTGCGTGACACAATCATAATAAGAACATAAAGTAAACATCACGTGACAGAAAAAAACACGTGATAACGAAAACAATTATTAGACGTCACGAATCACAATAAATGACACAAAATCACATGAGACTTCTCAAATGTTTTAAATACGGGTTGCAACAGTCGATACCAAACAAAGCAATGACACAGTGGACTGAACGACGGTGTCGTTCAAGGAAGTAAAACTGTAAAATCTCCGTGTAGATTTGAAACCTTGTACACTCAGTTTTATGATGGCAGTAATTGCGGGAAACCGGAAATATTAAATTAAATCGGATTTCAGGAAGAAGATCCAGGCAGAGGCGGTCTTGAGAAACAAACAAAGACAAGATGAGAAGTTAAAGCACATGCAGGATACCTTGAAAAAGGGACTGGGTGGCGTTGTTCAGAAGGGAGAAAAGTCTGAGGAGAAAGTAGAGTCTGAGTCAGAGGATGAACAAAAAGAGGAGGACGGGGACGAGGGTTAGTTTAATATAGACTATTCTATACTATTCTAGACTAAACTTTTAGTTTTCAATTTGAAAACATTATATTCGCTTAGACTTAAAATGTAGTACTAGTATATTGTTCCTCAATCATCAGATATTCTGTCACTACTATCTGTGTATTTAATGCCAGCTTTTTAACTTAATTCTAAGGTATAGGTAGTGAAGACGAAGACGAAGAGCCGTCTGACCTAGCTACCGCCGTGAAGAGGCGACAGGAAGATATCAAGAGGAAGAAAGTTGAGGAACGTGAGGAAAGGTTGGTTTATTTTTTGTAGAGCTTTTCATTTTTCATTAGAGCTTTACTTGACTTTAAGTATCTACTGTAAATCTGTAAATATTATGGCCTAAACTGATAATTGGGTGGTGTTAGTATTGTTAGTTCTACGTTAACAGATTATTTTAATCCAGGGAGAAGCAAGAACAAGAGAAAATAAAAGAGCGCAAGTTCAGAGAACAGCAAGCTTCAATACAAATCCAAAGGAAAAAGGAAGAGCAGCTCAAGGTTTGACGCTAAGCATTGAAAGTGCAATCAAGATATTTATGAAATCCGATTATTTCATGAAGATGTAATATTTAGATATGAAGATGTAATATGAAGATGTAATATTTGCTTATTGACTATTATATACATATATTAATTTGCGATTTTTTAGTCCCATTATTATTTATATTAATTGATCATATTCTGCTCTATTAAGTTGTTATATTTTCACATCTATAACCATAATTTTCAGAGTGACTTAGAGAATCTCGTACAAAGTATAAGAAACGAACCTCTTGGTATGGACAGGAACTATGCTAAGTACTGGTTATTCAGTGGAACTCCCGGCTTCTTTATCGAACAGGTGTGTAGTCAAATCTCCAGTTGATTGTATCAGTAGAATTAAGAGCAAATACTCTGATGCTTCAAGATGATATTATGATATTTTCCTTTTTATAGGCTGATTGAGCTATTTCAGGGATGGTGGGGAGGAAAATACTTCGATAATATACAGAAGAAAGCAAATTCTTTGAATACCAGTAATACCAGCGAAGATAGCGAGGACAGTGGTGTGCTGACTAGACAGGAACCAATGTAAGAATTTATCTTTACATCTTTTAGAACAGGATTCAACTTATTTTTTCAGTAAACTGTTCGATTGTTAATATAAAGTGAAGTGCCAGTAGAACATCTCACTAAACATTATTCTCTCGCATATCACGATTCAAATTATTTGCACAATTATTGACATCACTAATTTACAGAATAATACCTGACAACCACACGCCCTCCTGGTTCGTTATCCCCACTCTAGCAGCGTACGACGAGTTTAAACTCTCACTAAACAAACGAGGAGTACGAGAAAAAGCTCTGTTAGCAAATCTCAACAAAGAGGACGAGAGAATACGAACAGCTATCAGGAAGATAAACAATAATAGAAGGCATCACATATTAATAGGGAACCAGGAAATGACGATAAAGGGGCTGAAGAAGGATGTGGTGACTATGGATAGTTCGTTGGGTTATGCGGGATTGGGAGGACTTGATAACATCACCAAACACATGAAACCAGGTACTTAGTTTTGTACTTAGTTTTGTACTTAGTTTTGTACTTAGTTTTGTACTTAGTTTTGTACTTAGTTTTGTACTTAGTTTTGTACTTAGTTTTGTACTTAGTTTTGTACTTAGTTTACTTAGTTTTGTACTTAGTTTTGTACTTAGTTTTGTACTTAGTTTTGTATTTAGTTTTTTACTTAGTTTTGTACTTAGTTTTGTACTTAGTTTTGTATTTAGTCTTTTACTTAGTTTTGTACTTAGTTTTGTACTTAGTTTTGTACTTAGTTTTGTACTTAGTTTTGTACTTAGTTCTGTACTTAGTTTTGTACTTAGTTTTTTACTTAGTTTTTTACTTAGTTTTGTACTTAGTTTTGTACTTAGTTTTGTACTTAGTTTTGTACTTAGTTTTTTACTTAGTTTTTTACTTAGTTTTGTACTTAGTTTTGTACTTAGTTTTGTACTTAGTTTTGTACTTAGTTTTGTACTTAGTTTTGTACTTAGTTTTGTACTTAGTTTTGTACTTAGTTTTGTACTTAGTTTTGTACTGTTATTAGGGGCCATCTACTTAGATGGCCCATAATAACAGTACTTATAACAGTACAAATCGCAGATTTTCAGACCACCCTCTCCCCCGTCCGGGACCCGGACTCCGGGTGTGTCCTAATTTTCAAAACCACCCCCCCTCCCTGTACGTCCGGATTTCCAGCTACAAATAAAACCAACTCAAACTTATTGTAAATAAAATGTGTAGTTACTTAAAAGTAGACAATAATGCATTTAGTGTCGAATAAGTTTAGTACAGTTACATTTAGCACAGTTTACATAGACCAATCATCTCTATTTCACTAGCTGACCCGGCTCCTTCTGCATTTCCTCCCGACTGCATACCAGAAAGTTTGCTCACTTTTACCAAACTTTGTTCAAATTCGGCTCGCCTTGAAGCACCTTTAGACCTCCAGATAGCAATATCCTGAGAAATACACATTACTAAAGACAGTGCACTGAATGCTGCCAACATCCAGCCACCTTGGCTGTAGGTCATGAAATCCATCACCATCAAGGCCACCAAGTGTCCTCCATACATGGCCATCATCCAGGCACAAAGCCACAGAGTTGCGGCATACGACTTGTTGTTCCTTGTGTATGGTCTTCCACCTAATACTGTATGGTTCTCCTCTATTGCTGGAAGGGTGGCTACCCCAATCATCTGGCTTCCATACCCTTGGAGAAATATACCGAAATAGGCTACCTGTGGAACTCCTTCATACAGAAACTTTATGCCCTGACCCGGGAAGACGAGCATCACGCCTACAACACAGATAAAGGAACCTGCTGCCATGACTTTGCTCGCAGAAAACCACCCTAGTTGCAAGATCGAGCCGGAACTAGCAGCCCCTATCATCAATCCAATGTACTGTACAAACACATAACTGCTTCCACGACTAATGGATAGATCGTAAATATCATTAAGGTAAGGAGTGGTTATGGCCGCCGAGAAACCTTCAAGCACCACCGTAAGACTCATTGCAGCAAGAGGGATAGCAACCGGCCAGTAGAGGCCAAGCGGAGAAGCTTCTTCCTTTTCTGGAACCCTACCTTTGTCGCTACCTTCACTTGACACAATTTCATCGGACCAAGGAGCTTCAATGATGTCTCCTGTATTTTTAACTTTAGCAAACACGGGTTCAGAAGTTCTTGGCATACAAATGAAATTGTATACCCAGAATAGGAGGCTAACTATACCAGTGAACAGGTAAGGCCCCTGATAACCAAAAGCTTCGTAGGCATGCCCTGCCATGAGGTTTGCAAGAGAACCCCGAGGTAATATGCACTAACCTCGAGTCCGACTACAAGATTTGTATGGTCAGGGAACCATGCTCTACAGCATTCAACTGTCACCTTGGCGCATATGAAACCTGCATAGCCGTGAATGGTACGCAGTAGTATTAGCAGAGCAGCCAGGAGTTTGTTGTAGTCTGGTGGGAGCCACTCGACGATCCCCATAACTGAGATGATTAATAATTGTTACTAATTTTTACCGATGACAGCATAGATCACAAGTTAAATTTGCAAGGTAGGTAATAAATGATATTCCTCAAAAATGAAGAACATGAAACGATAGGTATACCCTCATTCGAAGTTTAAAACAGATAGATACTTACAAAGAAAGTTGACTATGACTATTGCTATAAAGATGCACTGGGTTACTCTTAAGGACATTCTCTTGGTTCTGAGAAAATAACCGACGACATCATAAAATAATAATATGTTGCAAATGTTCCCAATGCCAGAAATCATTCCAATTTTTTAGTTAATTTAAATTAATCACGATTCTTGAAATAATAATTCTGATCCCATTTCATTAATAGGCGTTGCTGTTAACCATGAATTCGATTGACGAAGATTGAGAAGCATAAATTTAAAGCAAACGACCTAGAAACTGAAATTTCATTTAGAAAAAGCATCATATTTAAACCTCTGTTGACAAGATGAGTGGCGTAAAATGTTGAGTGACCGACTGCGCAAGCGTAGATTATCACACTCTGCAGATAAATTGCTCCAAACACCCGAAAGGTTTTCCAGCTAAATCTTTTCCAAGACGGTGAAACTGAAAGCTCCATTTTGCGATCTTTTGATTCTTTTTCTAGCTTATCTCGAGGTTTTGCAATAAATGAATTGGACAAAACAAAATGTGCAGCTTGGACTGATTTTAGAATATAATTACCTGAAAGTTCGGGATTCCTGAAATGGATAGTTCTAGATTCTTATAGTTTTTATAACCAAAACCTGTAAAACTAAAACTTGTAGAACTATACGAGAGTTTTCGTAATTCGTATATCGCGTACTAAATGGAATACTGGAAATACAGGGGGGGGGGGGGGGGGGGTCCAAAAGTCAGTACCCATACGTTGGGTCTTAACTCTTATACCACCGCCGTGTTTTATATTTGAGAGTTGTTGCTTTGCAGTTGGCATACTGTACCTACTTGTTCGAGGATTCCGTCACCAAAATTTGAAAATTCAATTTTTGGGGGCCACACCCCATCAACATTGAATTGCTTATACTTGAATTGTGTTTGTGAGCATGTTAGAGACTCATTAAAACTGCGTTTGGGGGCCTGCTTCTCCGGGCAGAGTCTAATGTACTGGTTAAACGTGTCCTCACTGCATTTGATCCATTCGCTAAGCGAACAGTCAACTACAAACAACTTAATCAGTTCAATCTTGAAATGCTGGAGCCATGTGCAGAGTTTCTCAGTATTGACCTTGCTGATGAAGATAAAAATAAACTGTATACGAAGGAATCATTGGTTTACCGCATCATGTTTGGTATCTCTTCACTTCTTCCAACCTCCTGCAATGACTGCAACGAACAGTATGTTGTCGAATTGGATGCTGAAGAGCCACATGTTTCCGGGGATCACACAACTGTGAGTTTGTCAAAACTTTTCATAAATGTATGACGGAAGCGTCTATAATCAGTCTCCTCTCTGCTCACGTGTGGATTTGTGGGGACTGTAAAGCTTCACATAACCCCGTCAAACCCAGGAAATCTAAATCTAGACATAACAGTGTCACCAAACTTGATCCCGCAATGTCCAGGATTATGAGTGAGCAGAACAGTCAGACTATCTCCCCTACTCAGCAGTCTCATAATCAAAGTGTTTCTGAAACTGACACATCTCATACTGAGATCAACGACTCAGAGCTCAGCCAGAAGTTGAAGAATGTTGTAAAGGAGAGGGTTTGTGAGAAGTACAAAGGAAAGAAGGAACACAACGGCCAGATTTGTGATTTTGGACATCCGAAGTACTGTGTCAAATACTGTCGTAACGGTACTCAGCGGAAATTTGGGTGCAATAGAGGTTCAAACTGCAAATTTTGCCATCCTGTTCTGTGCAAATTCTCAGTCAAGGACATATGTTTGGACTACCAGACAATTAATTTCTACTTTTAGTAACCTCAATTCCTTAAAGTTTAACATGCTCACTTGCTCAGCTTTAATAACGCCGCGCCACTGCTCATGCTGTAAGATCTAATAAAGTAATAGGTCTATAGGGTACAAATGAAACCAGTGGTTAAAATAAGAAATCTCAAACGTATAGACTAGAGAGTAATACAGGAAGAATCCGTTCCACAGAAAAAGTCCTCGACAGTCTCTCTGACTGCCTCTAAATACTACTAGTCACGTGAGACATATGCTGGTCACGTGATAAGATCTTAAACTAATAGTAATATCATCCAAAATAAGGTAAAGCTAAACATGTCAATCTGTAGAGTAAACAAAAGAGGTGACAATTAACCCTAATTAAGGAAAGTGAAATGGAAACAGCATGCTAACCGTGTGTAATGAGGTTTAGAACAAAAGGCCAATAAAAACATTGGAAGAAGAACTAGTAGTCTAAAATGACGTGTACACTCGTGAAATAATAAAAGGAGAGTGCAACACTAATGAGATAAAGTATAATTTAATTTATTCGTATGTAGATTTTTAATTTCATAGGATTGTACCATATAATATTCACAGAATAGTTAAACGTAAAATAACAGAAAATTTAAACCCGTAAAACCTCAGATCTACCGACCGTTGACCAGGTCAGTGCAGCCATGTTGATGTTACAAGTAACAATAGAAGCGAAATATCTGAAGAAACCAATGTGCAGTCAGCAATTTGGTTACGCAGTCAACTTTACGTACCACGACAGAGTTCAGGTACTGTATTCTTTTCTGTTCATTTTATTAGTTGTGACAAAAAGAAAGCCGTATGAAACTACCTTAGACGAATCTGAAGATAAGATACATTTAATTCAAATAAACTTCTGAATTTTCAACCAAATGCTCGCTTTATTACCGTACCCTAAAGCCCTAACTATCTTCCTGTTCTCAGAAATGGCGAGATCTGGTAGAGGGAGCCTCCACGTACTCTGATCTACACATGTTACTCAGTGTACTTGACAACTGTATCAAGTGGGAGCGTAGTCTTGACAACATTGTGAGTAAACACGCTCATTTAGTCGTTTTCCAATATTGTGATTGAGCAGTAGCACGCAAGCCATTTGACTCAATTGATATCTAATGATATCAAATCTTATTGATTTGATACCTAAATAGGATATTCATTTCATATACGTCCAAATTTATCTACTTATTGTACGAGTCCGCTTTTAGAACTGTAAGTCGTGTAAGAAGAAGGGAGACGAAAAGAAGCTGCTAATCTGTGATATTTGTGACACTGGCTATCACTGTGGGTGTCTTAGACCTCCACTTAAAAAGGTAAATAACATTTAAATTATTACATTAAATTAGCATATTTAGTTAGAATCAGTATTATTTAATGTTCCGCTGTTGAGAATACATTGAACAATTGGTGTTTCTTCTCAGGTTCCAGAAGGAGATTGGCTGTGTCCGGATTGTACTCCAGTTGTAGAGAAGGCAGAAGAGACAAGTAGTGACAGTGGCGAATGCTCGGCCGAAGAAGAGCAGGTACCTTGTCTCAATTTGCAGAGTGATTTTCTTTAAATAAGGGGTCGTTAACATATAACGTAATCAATCGAGAGGTGGGGGGGGTGGACACAATAGCTATGTGTAAAATTATTACAGAGGAGGGTTAAAAATTGGCCAAAAAGTGATTACGTAATAAGTGAACGACTCCTAAGAGCAGTCTTCAAGCGTGTTTCATCCTTCGAACAAGGGTACAAGTTTCACCACATTTTATAGTTATAGATAACACGACATTCCTGACCACAACATACCTCAGGAAGACGACGAGGAGAATGACGACTACTGTTGTGTGTGCGAGAAGGTGGGGGAGCTAATCCTCTGTGACAAGTGTCCCAGTGCTTACCATCTCATCTGTCATGATCCTCCTCTCAAGAGGATTCCAAGGTTGGTGCTTAGTGCTTACATTTCAGTTTAGCATTTTAAATCTTTAAATCTTCTTGCTTTTTGTCATTTATTCGGGTATAGGACACTATGGCGGAAGTGGCGAGGGTGAAAGACCCAAGGGCGGAAGTTTCCTAAAAGGTTGGACTCGAGGGCGAAAGACGCAAGATCTTCTTATCCGTTGAGGCCTGCTCCATCTGGACTGCTGCGATGAAGTTGAAGATGGTAGGGTTGGCGTGTCCAACGAGAGCAGAGAACTTCTTGTTCCAGGACTCCACCAAGTTGTTGTAGAACACCTGCGGTGAGGATATGAAGGTAGCTGCTGCACTGCTCTAGGATTCTCAGGTTTGCGTGGATGTTGACACGTCGATCGTCTAGGTTGTTGTCGAATTGAAGCATAGATTCACCGAAAAGGGATCTGCAGTCGTCCTCTTCCAGTTGAAGAGTTGCGAGGGATGTAGGTGCTCGCGGTCTAGGGTTTCCGTATCGGCGGGCTCTCTGTGCCCTCTTCTTCACCGCTTGTTCGTTAGGGAGGCGGGCACGTGCATCCTGAGACAGGGAGCCAGTAACGGAGCAAAAGATGTTGTGGTTTGTGGTCATCGTAGTAGCAGCCAGATCGTGGACTTTTGAGAGGACTTCTTTTGATTCACAGTCAGCGATATCAGCGTCATGGTTATGTATCTGTTTCACTACCACCAAGGATTCGTTCAGGGTATACAGACGACCACGGCAACTGCCTTTCTTCCTCACACATCTCCAGGCTTGGCGTCCATCAGTGGTAAGCTTTCCATCCTTAGAGTAGCGGAAACCACCGTGTATGAGATTCTGACTGGTAAGAGTCCTTCCTCTGATTATCTTTACTGTATCTTCATCGATCATGGTTGTAATTGTAGTAGTTGAGGTGTAGCTGGATTTAAATAACAAGATACTTCTATTCCAAACATCAGACTATACTATTTTGTCTAAATTATAAATGATATGGTTTATTAAGCATAGCTGTGGTCAGTTTACTACCGCCCTCATCAGATACAAATTTCAATTGTGGCAGTGAAATTGTTTCATATTGTAGCTCAAACTTGGCTCTCCTTCAAAGTTTTATCTATGTTGGTCTCGTACTCTTAATAACGTTTACGTCTTTGTTTTTCGGATTCAGTCGATACTTTCCCTCATCGCATCATGTCCTAATACCACCTAGTCAAAGTATATAGTACTATTATAATAGGGCACTATAATTAGTACTGTTATAGAGTCACTAGGCCGGCGCTGAGTTTGTTGACATACCACCATTAATATTATTGTGCACCAACTAATTATATCCATTCCATTGGTCTCGGTGTGATGAGGGACAGTCTACACTTATAATTATACTGATAGCTTCAAAAGTTTGAGCTGGAATATTGAACAATTGATTTGTGGGTATGGGAGCGTTCACATATTAGGACGTCAGAAGCTGAGGGGAAAGGGCGGGTTTGGAAATGCTGAACGGGGTCTAAGCATTGCAGAAATGTAACGTGAATTTTGGCAAAAATTGTTGGTTCAAATCAATTTTATTAACAATAAAACTTCGCTAATTTCCTTAATATTAGTACTTCGGTGAATTACTTAACTCTGTCGACCAACTGTTTATATCAGTCGCATACTAATTTTCCCTGCCTATAACATCGGGGGAACATCCGCGTCCGCCAGCATTTCTATACCCCCTCGCTGGCTGACGGGAGGGGGTAAGTATTAAGTAAGGGGGTTAAGAAGGCAAGGGGGTCTGGCGAATGCTGACGTCATTGGGGGGGGGGGGGGGGGGTTGGGTCACTCAATGCTGACAGAGGGAGGGGGGGGTAAAATTGGCTAAAATCTTGCTGATGCCATATGTGAACGCTCCCTATACACCTTTTTCAAACAACATTTATTTAGCAAGAGGTGCTGGCAGGCTATAATATACATTTAAAATTATAACATTTGAATCGTCCTTAAAACTGTGTTTGAAAATGATCTCCAATGCCAAATTGCTCAGCTAAGCCTTTTGCACGGCGAAATGTTCTCCATTCATGATTTTATAATACTCATCTGGAAATTGGACAGGATGCTGCTCTCGGCGGTCCTGTCATAAAGTTTAAACTTTTTACAGGCATGGTTGATACTGAATGTTTCGCAGTTGCTGTTTTGACATTCAGGCGCACAGCTTGCTACATTTTAAAACTCTATAATTTTGTAAACGAGAGCATGATCTCATATCACACAATGGTATGTGAGGACATCAGAACGTCACGAGCGATAATATCCTGGGATCTGATCAACTGTTTCAACACGAAGAGATTGATGGAGTCCTGGAATAAGAAGTTCTCTGCTCTCGTTGGACACGCCAACCCTACCATCTTCAACTTCATCGCAGCAGTCCAGATGGAGCAGGCCTCAACGGATAAGAAGATCTTAGCCAATTCGCTCGGAGAGCAGCCGCCTAAGAGGAAGAAGGCCAATAGTGACACAAACAAGGATAGGAGAATCGTCAGCATAGTTGAGAACTACTATTTGTACGAGGATGATGTTGATTTGATCTTGATTTGCTGAAGAGTGCTATGTGAAATGTTTATGTTATTGTTGATATTATTTTATTCGGGTTTTGACAAAATTGATTGATTACATTGTGAGTTATATTAACTTTAAGCGTTCTCAATAACCCTGTGTGTTTTGTAAGTAAAGTTACAATGAATTCGAAATAAGGATCACTACAATGATTGAAATATAATTTATACAATTAGAATTAAGTTGTGTGATGTTGCAGTTTTTGTATTATTACTAGTTCAACATTTAGGACGGTGTGTGGTTCCATGATAAAGTGAGTCATGTGATCGTTTTAGGAAACTGCAGCCCTTGTGTCATGTGTCATGTGATCGACTTTCGCCCTTGCGTCTTTCGCCCTCGAGTCCAACCTTTTAGGAAACTTCCGCCTTTGGGTCCTTCGCCCTTGGGTCTTTCGCCTTCGCAACCTCTGCCCTCGCGACTTCCGCCCTCGTGACCAATTCCCATTTATTCCGGAACGGCGAAATTGGTGATAACACCCCGTCCCCCATGAATGTTAAGTATTTCTGGATACTGTTAAAATGGTTACAATGACTGTATAATTTCAGGGGTGACTGGGCGTGTTACAAATGTCAGAAATCTCAAGAGAGTAGTGACGAAGAGTCATCTGACGAAGAGGTTACTTTACACTGCATTTTATACTTTTATAATTGATATGAAATCAATCAAATTTAGCATTATTTTACTCAAAATTGATATACGACTATTTCAAAGCTTCTTATACATTCCATTTGACCATTTAACCTGACCGATTTCCTGTTTGTAGCAGGTGTCAAATTGCTCGGTGTGCCGTAAAGGTGGAAAGTTACTGGTTTGTGCAGAGTGCGAGGAGACGTATCATATGAAATGTCACGATCCTCCTGTTAAAGCTATTCCTAGGTAAAATTAACCGAATTTAATTAATTCAGCGAAAACTTTGAAATTGGGGGACTACATAAAGTATTGAACACAATTTGGTGATCTATATCAGATAACCAACAGCTTGTTCTGTTCATGTTGCTAACTTGTTGTGTTTTATCGATTGATCTAAGTATATAAATTAAATTCGCTATTAAATTAAACCACTTTCACCCTGACAGTAAACGTTGGAAATGTTCGTTTTGCAAACCGGACAGGGTAGAGGAACCTAAACCAAAAAAAAGGAACAGTTCTAATTCAAATAAAGGCAGGGCAGGAAAAAAGAGGAAAATAGAGGTAATATAAGAAATAGTTCACCTATTGCATGGCCTCACGGCCTGGTTATCATATATAGAGCTAATGCTAGGTTCCGTTTTAATGTTTTGCAACAAATCTTTAGATTTAACCAGAATCTTCATTATTCATGAATTTTTATATCGTTGGGTTGTATTTCAAGAGTAATCAGCATAAATTTGCATCGTTACCTTCTCTTTGCAGAAGACTAAGAAACGGTCTCGTATACAAGAAATCAAGAGCGAAGATGAAGAGGAGTCGACTGGGACGGAAGAGGATGAAGAGGAAAAGAGCGAAGAAGAAGAAGAAGAAGAAGAACAGGAGGAAGAAGAAGAAAGCTCTAGTAAACGATCTTCCCGGTCTAAAGCCAAACCTAAACCCAAATCCAAGTAAGAATAGTCAAATATTTAATTAATAGACAATTAACATTAAGGGATCGTTTTAAAAAACCGCTTGCACAGTTGCACTATACACACTAGAGTATACGTTTTCCTTGAAGATTTGAATGCCCTGAACAATACAATAATTTTAATTTTCTATTACAGAGGGGCTAGGTCCAAAAAGTCTGCCAGAGAATCTCGGTCTCGAAAGAGAGGAAAGGAAGAAGACAAAGAAGAAGTTGAGTCAAGGGAAGATAGGTCCAACCGACGCAGTCTGAAACGAGGCTTGGATGACAAGTTAGAGGTTAGGGTGAGACTTTTTATTTTTTTATATATAATATATTTTATTTTTATACTATTACAAAATAACACCGGTTTTCTGGATATATCTCATTCATCTTCTACTAATAGATTACAAAACTACTTTTCGGTGCGCTCAAAATTTAAATTATTTAATGTTAGCTACATCTTGATACTCAGTAATTTTTAGATTTGCGAAGAAATTGTGTCAGATCTGTTAAAAACCCCGGAAAGTGCAGATTTTATTGACCTTGTGGACAAAAAGAAGGTTTGGAACTAGGTTATTAGCTGTATTAATAATACTATTATTAAGTTAATGATGTTTATAATACGTAATTTCATAATTTAGACATCATTAAGACCAGGGTTATTTTCTATCAGTATCTAAATCTTGTGAAGCCTGAAGGCTCAAATTCCCACAGAAAACTCAATACATTTCTCAATCAGGTTCCTGACTACTATGACTTGATAGAAAAACCCATCTGTCTGAGTCAAATCAAAGAAAAGACGCTTTACTTGCAGTACGAAAGTTGCGAGGAATTTATAGATGATATGCTCACCCTCTTTGAAAACTGCTTCAGCTACAACCTGGTCAGTATTTAATGGCTTATAATTCTTAAATCTTATCGTGGCTCTTTGTTAAGTGTATCTGATTAGTTCCTGCTGCGAGCAGATAATAGTCAATCGCTGTCACGTGTCAATAAATACAGTCGTATACATTCCACGACTTAGAGGTAGGAATGAATTAATTATATGTTTATTTGAATTATTATCATATGCTCTGTTTTCAGGAACAATCAGAAGTCTATGACAACGGAAGGATTCTACAAACATCATTTTTGTCGATGTTTAAAAGTCGCCTTCCTGGCTTGTACCGAACAGTTGGAAAATCTCGGAAATCTGAATGAGAGATCACGTGACAAAATGTACCAAACACACATCCAGCTGTCAAATAAAGTACTTTAACGGTCCTTCAACAAAGAAATTATCAGAACATTTTTAAGTAACCTGTTTGTTTTTATCAATAGTTTAAAGTTGAATTGGGGTGTTGTCATGTCAGCCCTACAGCTTCGTGGTTGAGTTTTCATCTCTGATATTATTAGTCCAACGGTTTTTAATTTTGTTTTTAAGGCAATCTAATTATTTGTAATAGCGACAGGAATTTGCTTGATAGTTCTATATTGAGCTGACATGATGTTTAGGATGATTTCAGTAGGCTTTCCATTTAGTGACAAAATAAAGAGGGCAGGTATTGTTCATTGTTTATAACTTGGTTATGGTTACATTTAATGAGTAGAAAGCAATAGAAATAGTCAGAAAGCAATAGAAATAATCAGAAAGCAATAACTAATCCCCCACTTTTCTGTCTCCCATCTAGACGATTCTACCTGGTAGAGCTAATTTCTTTAGCTGTAATAGAAAATTATGATCTTACTGCTTTAGTAGGGTCATATTATTTTTCTGCCGTTATAAATGATAATTTTCGAATTGGATAGCCTAGATTTCATCGTAAAATTTATTAATTAAAATGTGCGATTGAATTTGTTGGAAAAATTGATATTTCCGTGACCGAGGAAACTACAATCAAAGTTCACAACGAACGAGGGTTATGAACATCTCCATCTGGTTATAAACATCTCCTTTTGTTTACATCATTATTAATATTAAGATTTCATGATTGACTGATGGGCTACACATTTGCTGCAACAGTTTTACTTTTAAACTTCAACAGTTCATGTTTAAGTATAGAGTTTCCATATGACCAACTTCCAGTATGAATTTGATTCATGGATTTGCTGATAAATTGTTTCGCCTGCATTTAAGTTACATTATTTGGGGGGGGGGGGGGGGGGGGGGGCCAACCATATTAAAGTATATTAAAATGTAGGATTTTTCCCGATTTTGACCCGGGGATATACTTTAATATACTTTAATTTATCCCTATCTCCTTGGAGGCCTACATCAAAAATTGTTGCCCAAAATAAGCTTGAAATGCAATCCTTAATCGATTCCAAAAAGTTCTTGAAAAAATATTGAAAACTGATGGAGTTATTTTAATTTTAATGAAGTTATTTTGGCTAGTATTCTGAACGGAGATATTATGTGCAATTTTCCCAATTTTGTTCATGGAGGTCTTTTTACTTAGTATCCACTATATCCAACAAACACTGAGTTATATCTTTCACATAGAGTTAGTCTCATTAAAAAATATTGAAATTTTATCGAATTTGGGCAAAAGCGAATTTGGACAAAAGCGTATGCCCAAATATGGGCATATTTTTTAAAGCTCATAGCTCAGCCAATTTTTGACCAATCTGGATGGAAATTCATGTACTAGTCCTAAAACAGGCTTATCTTGCGAATCTGAGTGAAAAATATAGTTCATCATGTAAATCTTAACGAAGAATATAAATCTTCTAATTGTAGGTATATTAAAGTATATTAAAATGTAGGATTTTTTCCGATTTTGACCCGGGGATATACTTTAATATACTTTAATATGGTTGCCCCCCCCCCCCCCCCCCCCCTTATTTGCCTCTGTTGTAAGAACGTATGGTTGCCTCGATAATATATCATGTCAAACTTTTTTCAACCTCAATTTTGTTTGTAATTTACGGTGGAAATTGACGAATAAACCGCTGTTTTATTTAGTTTGTAAAACCAAAACGAGTTAATTTTAGTGTTAAGGCCTTTTGTTCAGTAAAAATTACATTACTGGCAGTGTGCCGGGAACGATTAATAATGACTGAGGCCAGGTTTCTTTTGTTACTAATAATGCAATGGCCTTGTCCATTATTTTGAGTTTAATCACTCCTCTGTACCGTCAAAGGACAAAGAGGCGTCACTCTTAAAAGACTCCACCAAAGAGAAGGAACGCTTCTGAATTAAGCAACATTCCATTCAAATTATATCTGTGTAAGGTTATGAATGAATAGAGGAGTTGAACTGCCATCGAAAAACCATATCGACGCGGTTGCCGCGTATAAACATCTCGAACTTGGCGTACGTTACATGACACTCACGTACGCGCGCACGTACGTACGTGTATGTAGTGAAATTTCTCCAGTCTCCTTTGCACTAAGACAAATTATTGGCGCGTTCCAAATATGAGTCTCAGCGGTGTGTCCCAAATTTGCCCCACCGTATCAAAACAACAGAAATATGGACAGTAAAACTGAGAGGCGTCTTTCATTATTGACTGCCAAACCATTATAATCGGGCGTTTAGTAGCTTTTAAGATATCGACTAGGAAGTTTTCAGAAAGCAACTAGTTTGATCAAGATCTTGATATGTAAGTTAAAGTAGCCTCGTTCTGAGGGCACCATATAAATTGCACCATTTAAGTTGAGCCACCAAGTTAAGTCACACGAATTTTGGCATCTGTTAGAACATAAAAACAATGCGTATTTAACATGACGGAACGTAAAATGAAATTTCTTAACTTCTTTTATATTCAACATTACACGCAAAACTACACAGCCCATTTATCAATCTCATATCATTTTCTCAAAAATATACAGGTATAGAATATTCTATTATCGCTGGCATTATTATTAATTGATCCAATCGCCACTTTCATTCATATTTCATTGATTCAAAACTTTAAGATTAGACATAATGGGAAAACACGCAGAATTAATTGCACTGATAATAAGAAATGGTGACATTCCCTTTTTATCTCTAGGTGGAGCAAAGCCCACGCATTTTATTGCTCATGTCAGAACAGATGTGTCTTCTTGTGTTGCTTCTCCGAGCAAAGCAAACAATAGAGGTCATCACAGTAAGTAAAAGTGCATGAAGGATTGAGAATAATTTTGAAAAGACATAAAATTGCCGTAGATCTGGAATGTTTCACAAAACTGTTAAAACAAGTCGATTATCCAATTTGAACGAACTGTGGAACAAGCTGAATATCTCAACCCTTCTCCTATTCAGGACCATAACACCTAACTTAAATAATCAAAACACCCATCGAATTCTAAAATTTGTAAACGCAACCACACATGAAAACCATCTAGCTTGAGGTTAGACAGCTTCTTTCTTTATACAAGTAAAATCAATCACTTCAGCTTAAAATTTTATATCTTACGAAAAACATCACAGAGGAGAAATTCCAATGACAACCAAAGTACTCCATTAAACATTTCATCTTTAAGATGGTGGCTCAAGCAATGAGCCCACTGCTTGTAAACTAAAATATGCACAGACCTGCGCACACAGATGTGCACAAGTGCGCATGCAATAGCTAAACTTTGTAAAGTAGCTTTGCAGTCGAAAATGATACACGGTAAAATGTTACTGCCTCTTTCCAAACATTCTATCATTATTATATCTTAATAAGTTGTCAAAACTAAAACTTTTTCTCTTTCACATTACTATAATACGACCTAAAATAATTCCTTAGAAAATGTCGTTATTCTTATCTTTTAAGTTACACTATCAAAGTTACATAAGATACATAAGATAAGGGATGGCAGTTGCTAATGTGTCGTTACTTGTTTATCATATCGCAAAGTTGAATCGTGCAAATATCGTGTCCCTGCTTACATGGCCCGTTTACAAACAATCAAATTGTCTTTCAACTTCACCGACAATATAACTTATAATTGAATCTATGACGTTCCTGAGACAAACTAACTATAACGTGACGTCATGAAACGTGACGTCATGAAACTAATTGATCACTTGACGCTGTCAACTGTAAGCCCATACCAAGCCCTTCATTATTTATTTTTACCGAAATTCAATCAGACTGGACTTCATCATATTATCACATAATCACAATGTTTACATTAGCTTCTTTCATCATCAATCAAAATATAGTATTTCTAACGAGTAAAAATTTAGCAGTTCCAACAATGTTAAATAAATTTTCTTCGCAAATATCCATCGCCTGACGACATGTTTGAGATGTTTAGAATTCCTAAAATCAGTCGGAACAATAAAGAACAGTATCAGTCGAAGGATCCTGTTGCGCAGTGGGAAAACTGAGTTAAAATCATGATCATCATACACACGCACTACTACATTTTAGTCAGCACTATATTATAATGGAAGAGTTTGAACACTGTGTATACAGTGTCCACTGGATGAGATCTACCAAAGTCTAGAAATTGAGCTCTGTATTATAAATTTAGTAGGGTCCAGAATAAGAAATAAATGGCCACAATTAAAAAGCAACTCTCGTCTCAGGAAATATATAGTACAAGATTCTTTAAAGAAGTTATATAACTCTGATTAGTGTCCAAATGTCACGTGATTACGTCCCTGACGACCCAGAAATGAGAAATCTCCACTCTTCTTGACTGATTGCGAAATATTAGTTGATTACCAATTTAGCTCCATATCTCTAAAACTCTAAATAGCTACAACGCTTCTCTCCAATAAAAATGTAGTCGACAAGCCGCAGGACTTTAACCAGGACGGTGCACCACGGAAATAATCAGCTCTCAACATTTCATCCTCAAGCTCGTTAAGCAAATTCACGTACTCAGGGACGACGCTTTGAGATGGTTACATTAATGCCCAGGTTCCCATTTTCACTGAACATGTGAGCCATGCTCGTTTCGAAGACCAGACAATCATTGTTCTGTATGGCTGCGGTAACCCCCTCGTGGATGCTGCGTGGTGTGGCTTCCCACAACATTCGGCGGCCGTGCCCGTTCAACTCCAGACGATATTGGAATTGTTCGGCTTGTTTTCGTGTTCCTATCAGTTGGACGACGGCGAAGAATTGCTGGTGTCCCTCGTGCTTTTCCTGGAAAAGAAGGATTGTCAGTGAAGAGTACGTAAAGAGTACGTGAAGAGTACGTGACTTTTGGTTATAACATTCATATACTTGTCTTAAAATATTTTTAAGTCGACTCGACGGTTCTTATCAAATTTTTCCTTGATAGCCGAAGACTAACATTCACCATGAAGCAGTGAAATTCCACAGTAACAAGACACTCCAGTGTAAATGAATCTGTAGTCTAAACACGAACCTTAGCTGGTTCCTGGACCCGGAATAATCCCGGAATTATGTTACCATGTAACCTGACAGTCTATCTCACCACACCACCTTACAAGCCAGTAAATACCATGTTATTAAATAACAGCAAGCAAATTCCACGTACAAGCCGGCTAAATTCCAGATCTCACAGCACAAGCCGGCTAAATTCCAGATCTCACATATGAAAGAATACGGACCTAACTACTTTGCTCTCTCTCTCTGACAATGACCATTGAGAGAAACTCACTTAATCTTGCATGCTCTGTATTGCATTAGCCCCGTGTGTGTACATGATTATATATAGGCAGATTGCATGTTGATAAAGGATTACCTGTGTGTGTGTACTGTGAGTGTATGAGTGTGTATGAGTGTGTATGAGTGTGTATGAGTGTATATGAGTGTGTATGAGTGCGTATGAGTGTGTATGAGTGCGTATGAGTGTGTATGAGAGTGTATGAGTGTGTATGAGTGTGTATGAGTGTGTATGAGTGTGTGTGTGTGTGTGTGTGTGTGTGTGTGTGTGTGTGTGTGTGTGTGTGTGTGTGTGTGTGTGTGTGTGTGTGTGTGTGTGTGTGTGTGTGTGTGTGTGTGTGTGTGTGTGTGTGTGTGTGTGTGTGTGTGTGTGTGTGTGTGTGTGTGTGTGTGTGTGTGTGTGTGTGTGTGTGTGTGTGTGTGTGTGTGTGTGTGTGTGTGTGTGTGTGTACTTGGTAATTAATAACTGATATTATTGTGTACTGTACACAACACGCATGTAAAACGTTGCAGCTCAATGTTGTGGCTAATTCATCACCGTTGCTAAGCAACCACACAATCTTATCATGTCACGCTTTGGGTAAATGTTCATTATGTAAAACTTCGGATGGTTTGCATTCCTGTATTTTGTGAGGATGCAAGGTAAAACCGAATATTACACATGATTATCATGCTGTTCAATGGATTCCTCGAGACTTTCTTAATTTATAACATTAATAATACCCGACGGATTGGACGTAAGCATGGTATGCACATAATATATGTTAATATGTAATTCTATTATAATAAGTAATATCCATATGTGTTCAATTATTTAATGTACATTACACTGGGAGTACATGTCACACAACCAACTAGAGGCAGTAATTTTCTGATTGTGAACATACAGGTCTGGTTTGGCAGGCTTCCTTTCATCCCCAGTACATGTCGATAATTCGTGAGAATCTATTTTTAGACAAACTCGCCCACATCTCCCAGCACAACTAATAAAAATCGCGGATTTTAATTTTGTTATATTTGGGCATGTATTAAAGATGTTGTAGTTGTAGTTAAAATACTGCCAACTTCGGTAAATTAGATTAGTTGATGAAGCTGTCGTGCCAAAGTTTTGGTGTCATAAACGAGCGATAATTTAGAGGCAGCTATGATTTACAGTCGATTCAATAACTTGCCAAAAAACTTACAGATCACAAATTGTAATAATTGGGGATATTCTCCTTCTTATGAACGATGTCGTTACAAAAATTGAGAAATATTAATTAAAACTTCATTACGGTATTTAAACTAACCTGTTTTTCGAGTACTAAAAGGAAATTGCACCCAAAGCAGGTTTGCATCATGACCCAGTCGCAGGCTCCAGGCAGATGTATGTCTGTCGCTAGAAACACGATGTCTTCTCCCTGAATAGAATATTTGAAATAAGGATTTCCTGTATTGAATTTGACAGTAATTATTGACTCAACAGTGAACACCAAATATGTTAAATCACTGGCACTTCTATTTATAAATAAATCTTCATTAAATATCTTGTTTATAGCCAAATTCTTTGGCCCATAATTCAAATACCACAATATTCGACAACGGAGTTTATACTACATATTGTCATATTATATACACAGCAACTAATATAAATGTATCAAACGTGAGAATGTCTGGCATTCCTAAATCAACGTTTATCAAAATATGTAAATTATTCAGGAATTATAACAGCTTATATTAAATCTATAAATATACTGGTCTTCTGGTAAACAAAAGATCTGTTCTTGACTTATTAGCTATGATGGATATTTTTATTATTGTACTCCACATTGATCCGTGACCTTGACCAGATGACAGGGAAAAGGTCCCATACTGTACTACACATTTCATTATGTTAAAGTTCAGAAGTACCATTCAAATGGTTTATTACGCCTATAACGGCTCATTCTCAAAGACTGTCAAATCCAGCAAATCCGGCCGTTTACATGACATAGCTGAAATTGTTAGGATGTCAGTATGATACTGTCACACAACATCACACGACCTCCACCTGTATGAGATCACTACAAAGTGTACAAAATTATATCAGAAATCATCGTATCAAGTACGTAAAAACGTAAAACAGTCACTGGACACGTGTCTTGATCACGTGTCTCTATATCCACCAATTTAATTCCCACGGAGAATCTTTTACAAGTATCGTTTTTCCGTTTTAATGATGTTTTAAACTAATATTAGGCGGGAAACATCACGTTATGGCCCCGTGCATATGTGTGACCGAGTGTACAAAACGTATGTATATTTGTTAATTATAGTTCATTGTATAAATATGTAGGCAGTGTTGAGAGGTTTAAGTGCTTAATAAGACTGGGTGGGGTACAATTACTGTACAATTTGTTGGACTACAGATTTAAGTCAGCTGAGTTTACGATAAAATTGAGAAATTATGGGGAGTTGGGAGGTCGTTTCTCAAACCAATCAGGTCTGAGAAGTATTAATAATATAGTCTAAAATTCTAGACAGATTCTTCATTTTGTTTAAAATTCTGTATAGTATGTTTAACGTTGATTACGTGTATTTCTGACTAAGTATTATCATGTTTATGTTTATTTGGTAGAATGTCCACTACACCATTTGATCTCAACAAAATTTTCAAGATAAGAGCTCATAAAGATATTAACATTACATTGATTTTGTAATATTTTTGCAAGAGTTGTTACATTCAATAAGCAAGTTAATTAGTACGTTAATTAACTAACCTGAAGACTGGTTACACTCTTGTGTTGGGTGGTGAGATGTTGGAGGACTGCTTCTAAAGGACCGTGCCATTTACACACTGTACCTGGACACGGACACTGGTACGGTCTGAGAGGGGTAATTAGCTGTTAATTAACTGTTAATTGATTGTTAATTAATTGTTAATTGATTGTTAATTGATTGTTAATTAATTGTTAATTAATTGTTAATTGATTGTTAATTGATTGTTAATTGATTGTTAATTAATTGTCAAGTAATTGTTAATTAAATTATTAAACTAATTCGAAACATGGTTATAGGTGTGGCCTTCATTTCTTAAGGTAGAAAAGTACAATTGCAAGAAAAGTACAATTGCAAGTTTTGCATGATAAACAAAATCAAAACAATTATAATCAACATTTTGATCCCGCCCCAAAACTGTTACTTTTGTTACTTTAAAATCAGTTCTTGTGCGTCAGCCTACCAACCACTTGCACTCCTGATATTTAAATGTCTAGAGCTTTTACTTTTTTTATACTTTTATACTTTTTTAACGCTTGTACAACGTAACACTTTACAATAATCTGTAATACTTAATATATTATAAAATATATTACATCCTCGTAAAGTTATAACTGACGTGATTCAAAGTGATGTGATACAAATTGAAATGCGAATATTCAAAGTGAGTAGGTAAAATCACTGCAAATGAGATACGGTTTACAGTTAACAGCTGTGCGAGTGACGTCATACCCATTCTAATGACGTCAGCGGACATGAAAACACTGTATAATATCTGTGTGTCACTGTGTCCATATCACATTGCAATTAGGTATAACTTCCGGTATAACTCCGGTCAGTACAGCGTGACGTTGAAACTTGTAATTATGCAGGGTTCTTATAGTGTGGGGATCTGGAGAGTACCATTAAGAAGTTGCATATTTAGTGTACCCAGATATTCTATAATGAGTGTATCTTTAGTGTACACTGTACAGGGGGTAATGTAGGGGGTAATGTAGGGGGTAATGTAGGGGGTAATGTAGGGGGTAATATAGGGGGTAATGTAGATGGTAATGTAGGGGGTAATGTAGGGGGTAATGTAGGGGGTAATGTAGGGGGTAATGTAGGGGGTAATGTAGGGGGTAATGTAGTGGGTAATGTAGGGGGTAATGTAGGGGGTAATGTAGGGGGTAATGTAGGGGGTAATGTATGGGGTACTGTAGGGGGTAATGTAGGGGGTACTGTAGGGGGTAATGTAGGGGTATGTTATACCGGGTTGGTTTGTTGATACGTGATCAATTATCTTGTTATTCAATTACATATGATCTAATAAATGAAGGGATGGTACACTGCAATGAGGGAAGGTCTGATGTTTAATCAGCAACATCCGGGAACTATTATCTCATTAACACGCAATTAGCTGATTAGTCCCACTTGTGCTTGTATTCTAGAACAAAGAGTGCAGGAAGCGACCTCGTGATCTTACAGCTATTGAGGAAACTTTTGCTAGGTTATTACTGTATAACTTCTGTTAAATCCTAGATAGAAATCCGATATTTTAAAATCCCTGTAACTTTGAGCGGGATCCGGGAATCAGCAAACATTATCTGGCAACTGTAATAACACATCAGTGTCATGTGTTAGATCATGATTGGCTGGAATACATACACAATAGAAACTGCTCCGATAGTATATCATTATCATTATACGTCACCGTCGCTTATTGTACACAGGGATTACAGGAGAAAGGAAATCTGGCAGCAAGCCAATCACTACTAACAGAGAGTATCAGATCACGAGTTACATATACACCCACACCTGTACATTGCACTACTTGACACTGGGACCACGTGTAATGTCACGTGTTAAATCACGTGGGCTACTGGCTAGTAACTGGTGAGCTTTAAAATTGCTTTGTTTAGCTAAAATAGTACACGCGCAATGTACACTCATTACAGTTGTGTATATTATCACCTATTATTTCATGACATATGACACATTATATTAGGGCGGGTAACATGAAGTAATTTGTATCTTGTAACGATGTACAAGTTATTTATTTCTTTATTTACTATGATAAATGATTTAACCTACACCGCACACGTATAATAGTAGCACTAGAACTCTCCGATTCTTGCTCTCTAACAATCAAGTAGTCTGTCTGCTTCTGGCATATTCAAGCTTCTGCGTTCACATATCCAAGCCAATATTAATAAACCGGCTTTTGAGCGCAGTCTATAAACCGTATGTGAGGGTTTATAGTATTTTATAGTAGTTATCTGGGAACACTAATTGTAACTGCATGAAAGCTAATATATTTATGAGATATAGTGTATGTACATTGTACGTGGCCAGGCGTTTACTTTAAATATTAGAAGCGAAGTGTTATCTTTCTAAAAGGGTGTACACGATGCATGCTAGCGTAGTCAGGAAATAGCAGAACGTACCAGAAAATAATACGTCAAGAGATGACAACTTTTACTACCTTGTAGGTTACTTTATATACTGAGCAGTGTCAGCACTTATCTTAATACTCAGCACTTATCTCAGCAAAATAGAATATATTAGTTGTACAAAGCGCCGCGCGGGCAAACTTACGAAATGCTCCACACGTACTATATTTCTCAGTTGTTATCACTTTATTAATGCAACACAATAAAGCAAATAAGTTACAAAAACACCAGATACTTGCTCACCTAACTTGATTAAAAATTGTTTAAATAAAGTAAAATATATTAATTCGTTTAACAAAACACACGTGCCAAAGTTACAAAACACTGGTGCTATATCACGTGGTCTCACCTGTATTCACACGTTTCCTCGTGCTCTGTTTTCTCCGTGTGTAGTAATCTCTGATGGCAGCCGTTTTGGGAGTATCTACAGGGGAAGAAGATGGTTGTGGCGACCTTCTCCATTGCGAGGTTGCGTATGTTACCCAAGGGACCGCGACATGTGGGACAGCTGTTTAGTTTTGGCTTGCAGTTCTGACAGATAAGGTGGCCGCTGGAGCACTGAAAATGGACTAGGTTTTGGAAAATATTTAGAGGGTTAGGATTAGGGTGTGTTTTATTGACTTGTCGTGTAATTCTTACAACACACACGTAACAGTTGTGTAATGACTCTAGGAATTAAGTTATATAAGTACAACATTATCAACGTCATGATGAATAATTATAATGTTGAGATGCGATACATCCGCATTAGCATATAGAGGCTAGGCTGTAAATTTGAGTTGTCTATGCTATGGGCTATATTTGTAATCTTAAGCGAGAAAGTTTGATCGCTCATGATAATTAAACATTACTACATCATATTATGATAATATCACACCTGTATAATGGGTGGAAGTACGTAATCAAAGCACACAGGACACTCGAAAAAGCTTGTCAAATCCTCGTTAGCAGTGTGGTTAACAGTGTGCATGGTGCTGGTGGTGCGCCCGACAGTGACCGGGACGCGGCGCTGCGGCACACCAGTTGGCACCGGAGTTTGACTGGTTGCTCCGGACAAGGGTGTCGCTTCTACCTCCATCTTATGCTCCCTGGTGGAATGTGAGTGTTAAAAGAAAATACAATTTGTGAAAATAGAATAGATATTAAGATTGGAACACCTTTCATTACATAAAATGCCTACTGTTGCCAAGTTTGTGTATGATTGAGAAATGACAGTGCACATTTAATTACACTTTGATCATACCAATGTGCAATAACAACTCTATTTGAGTCATTACTGATTGTCATTTCAAACTTGCTACAGCGTGATAGTGACACATAATAGTGATTTAGAAATAATCAACTTACATGTTCAAGGATGTACTATTTCAATTTCAATTCATACCATGGCTGCTTCAATCTGATATATTGATTGTTAGGCATAGTTTAAGATGAAGTTTGATAGACCTGTAGTGTTGGAGAAAATGAAGAAGAAAGACGAAACTTTGAACTGCATCAGCAATAAAAAATCCAGTTCAATGGCCCTTCATGTTTAGATGATTCCACATCAAGTTACCTCATCCTTCGAAGTATGTCCTTTACATCAAAAGTAAATAAATAAATAAATTCTAGTAACATTTATTACTATACACGCTTTGACATTAAAATATCCCAACAAAGATGTACATTTAAGTCATTCAAGCAGTGGCGTAATGAAGGGCCCCGCTGACACCGCTGTGCAGGGGGGGGGGGGGGGGGGGCAAATCGTTGTCTGGATGTGGGACAATTTTGAAAAATTTAACTGAGGTACACACACTCACACTTACTATTACTATCATGAATGTACTATAGACTGTAAATCTCTCAAATCAATTTTGGGCGTTTTTAACCGTTTGTTGTTTTAACCATGTTTAATTAATAATTAATATTTAATAATTTATTCGATAGTTTAGTCTGATATTGATATTGATTATATTGATATTGTTATTATTGAATGAAGCTAACTCCAGACATAAATAATATTACTTCTTTCAACAAAGGGACTTGGACCTGGAGTATAAACGACCAAGTTTGCATAAATTTCTATCCAACCAAGAATTCAGGAGGCAAAGGTGGGTGCGTAAACTTTATGGTCTGCACTCTCCGATCCTGTATCATCCTGGATTCTTTTCGACGTATCTTTGTAAAAGGTACATACCTTCTAGTCAATCTCTTGCTACTCCAAGTCCCCTAGGATATCTGATCTAAAGTTCGTGCTAGTTATAATATATGAAATATATTTTTGTCTGCTTTAATTGATATTAAATAAAATTGTTGTTTTCTTGAAATTGTTGTTTTCATGTGTGTTTTGCTCTAGAAAACACACTTTTCATAGATTTTACCGGCGTCTAAAATCACCTAATTTGTTCAATCTTAGGAAGGGGCGCAAACAGGGGGGGGGGGGGCTTTTTCAGCGGGGGCGCCAACAGGCAACATTACGCCACTGCATTCAAGCGAGACTTAGTGTGGAAATATCAAGATTATGTACTTATGAAAGTGCAATTAATATCATAGACAATTAAGTAAAACAAAGATTTAGTAGTTCAGCCCTTGGTTAAGCCAAGACAAATGCAGATGCATGATCACAGACACAAGAATGCAAATTGCAAAACGGTATGACACTTTTGACTACTATGAATATGGTAGACAAACATCAAATTCAAAGCAATTTCAGACAAAACTAAGACTATTCTAGGGCAGTGGATGTGTTCTACCCTTGGCCTTAGTCGTCTACATTCATACACAACTCCTACAAACTACTCTAATCTCTATCGGAGGATATGGAGGGATATTCCAACACGCTGCTAAAGAAATGGAATGAAATATACTTTGCAGACCAAATATCTGACTACTGAAGAAAGAGGAGAATATTCAAATTTAAATTAATAAAGGCTACATTGAGATATTAATTTGTGTTGGGGGGGGGGGGGGGGGGGGGGGTTGATAATGAATCATGATTCTTGAGTGTGCGACCATGAGTCCTGATTCCCCAATATTTTTATCGAACCATACAAAGTTTCCTTGAGAGCAACAAATAATCCCTTAATAGGATGATCATACATTGACATGCTGTATTAAAATGCATTATGCATGTGTTAAAATGACCTCTGGAAAAGACAACGCACAAGTCAAAGGACGCTTCTTAGGTCGATTGTGCCGAGTAATCGGGGAGTTCAAGGAGGGGCCCTGCTCAGATCTTGCAGATATGGTACGTAACCTAAATATCAGCAAACATACATAATTACAGTGAAGAGCTAAATAGATAAATAATAAATTTTATATATCACTTTATCGGTAAATATTTGAGCCAGTTACAAGATATATTTATGGAACTATAGATGATGCTGTGAAGGATGAAACAAATCAGATCGTAAGACTGTTAGACGTACACCCGACCCTACACAACATATAAATAAACACAGATAATTTTAGCAATGGGGAGCATTTACTTAATACCATTTTTGCTTAAAACCAGTGAATGAACTTATCCCGGTCAAGATAAAATATCGCGAAAAATTCATTCACGAAAGCACACTCACCAAATTACTTAGCTTGCTAATTTTTTTGCTCCATGCTCGTTTCTCTCCACATAGAGACAAGACCACTATGAAAGATTCCACCTTAAGTTTATCAAGTGGTCCTTGTCTGTCCATTCAAAAGCATCAAACATAGGCTGCTGGGGCGAAAGTGGGCGCCACCCCCTCTTCTTTGAAGCCTGCAAACTTGCAATAGATTTCTATAGTCGCCTTGAAAGCACTGAAAATGAACTTCTCTCCGCTGCATTTCACGAGCAGATTATGCTGGGCCTTCCTTGGTACACCAACATCTCTAATCTTCTCACCAAATATAACTTCCCCCACTCATCCTCTTCAAAATCCAAGCTCTCTACCCAAATCAGTCACAACATGAGGGAAGAATTTGTGGATACCTGGAAATCTGCCAAGGCATCCTCACCTAAATTAGAATTCTACAATCAAATTAAACATGATTTTGAACCAGAAACATACTTAGGAGTGGTTAAGATCCCCGATGCTCGGAAAAGCTTAACAAGGTTTCGTATTAGCTGCCACAATCTTTACATTGAGAGGGGCCGTTACGAAACCCCCCTAGTACCAAGAGAACATCGATGGTGCACTTTTTGCTTTTTCAGCAAGGGGCTTAAGCCTATTGAGGACGAAATTCATGTTCTAACTGACTGTTTACTCTACTCCTCAGTTAGAGAAAAATTTAACTTCCATCCCAAAAATATTACTGACCTAGCCGGTTTGCTATCCGATAAAACACTAGACCCTACAAAATTTACTGCCACAGCAAGAGCAATCCATTCAATTCTCTCTGTGAACGAAAATTTTACAGCCTACTATAAGAGCCCAGATTTCCACTCAAATACTGGCCAATGCATAATGCTATAGGACCTCAAAAATAGTATTATAAAACATTTCTATTTTATCCCTACACATTTGTAAATAACTAGAATTGTGTAACCTTAAATTATTTCAGAATTATAACTATTGTGAATTCAATAAAATAATTATCACTTTTGTATCCTTGTATCCTTGTATCCTAGAGAAATTTATACAAGAAGCTAGAAAAGAGCGCCGCACATAAGGATCGGCGCACCTGATAATCACTAAATAGCGCATATTGCATGCAATAACTTCTGCATTAAAAAACTTTGTGAATTGGAATTATTAAATGTTTTAGTGCGTACAATGCGTGCTTGATTTTTTCATGTCCCTATGCGCCGCAGAGGCGGCTATTGAGGGCGTCCAGGCGTCCGTGGACGCCTTAAAATTATTATCTGGTGGCTGGTGCTTAAAATAGAAATAGTAATTAGTAATAGTGTTAGGAAATAACAAATCGCAATATAAAGGTCTTCATTTACTATCATACGTTTTAATGTAAGCGCACGCGTGATCTTCGTGAAATTTTGTGTTGTAGGGAGTCCTGGACCACTCAGCCGCGCAGTTTTAACACATAGTTAATTGTAAACGTTACAAAGCACATCGTGCGCATCCCACTATAGGTAATCTATTATGATTTGCCTCGATTTGGGGGTCCAGGACCCTTTGCAATTTGACTGCTATATGATACTGCGCGGCGGAGATCGTACACGTGTGGACTGGTGTCCTGTTTGCTGTTTCACCCATGTTATAAGTTTTTGTGTTTGTTTGCTGTCGCCTGTAAAGTGTTACACATTACATTTACAAGGCACTGTGTGTAATGTAATCGGTAGTTTGGAGGGATCAGCTTGAGCCGGCTCCCAAGCCCCCCTCCCCCCCAGTCCATCGATTGGACCCCCAACAAAACTGCCAGCCAGCTCCCACGAGCCGCCTCTGATGCGCCGCTCTTTTCAAGATCTTGCATACATACGTGAGAGGAGCGAGTAATATAAGACTAACAAGCTAGTTAAATTACCGTTACAATTTATGATTTACCACGTGTCCTGAGCTGGTTCTCCTGTTTTCCAACAAAAAGAAATGATATCAACTTTAAACTTTTTTACCGTTCTCAATTCATAAAAGCAAAATAATATATACTAAAAATATGAAAATTGGCTGCTAACTTTTTGCGTTCATTTCACTCTAAATTGTAAATGATTTATTGTGTATTACTTTGCTAAAGACGAATTACACATTTATTTTCAAAGTTCCTGCTAAAACAAACTTTTTATATAATAACTTAAATTTTTTTAAAATCCCCCTCCAGCTTGGTGTATTATTTTATTTAATTATTACCTTGATGGATGTTACTCGTCTAAATTTCTTCGAAGTAGCGCGAAGTAGCGCGAAGTAGCACGCGTCGCTTTCTTCTCGAATACTTGCCCGATGGCAAGTGCACTACAAAGTAGCGCGCGCCTTAACGGGTGATACTCGTAAAATATCTGTTCCATATATTGGACCGTCGACGAGTCCAACTCGGCGCGCGTCCTGGTAGGTTGTAAACCTACAACGCGCGCCGGGCCAGACCATTAACAATGTACTTGATTGACGATGTCAATCCGTCGAGAGCAACAATCGACGACGGATGCGAAGCAAGAATGCTAGTTTGCGCGGCGCGTCGAATGTCGAAGCGGCAAAGTCCTCCAAACAATGTACAATTATTACCTAGCTTGTATTGCGAGTGAATTAGTAAAATCCATTGCTAGTTGATTGCTCGCTAATCAATACTTTCATTACTGGGCGGCGCTCAGCTTCTCATTCCACTTACGGCCTAATATAATATCTATGAACATAAATATAATAGCGAGCGTGCTAAATCACTCCACAGTCGATCTTCGACATTGTTCTAAAAAGGCCCCCGACAGTTGAAACCAATTTCAATCGATGCATTTTCGGATGCTGATTCCGAATCATCTAATTAAAATTTCTCGTTAGGGTTAGGGTTAATCAGTTGCTCTAACCCAAAGCTCCCTCTCGCTTGCAGTGAAACAAGCGCGTCCGCGCGTCACGCAGTACGCGCAGACACATGGCTATGTTATGTGAAGGGTTTCAGTATATTATATGCAATATGTAATATGCTTTTGTTATATTAAGGATTGGATTAGGGTTAGGGTTGCTTTATCCAGAGCCCTTGCGCTTGCAATAGCGCGCGCCCGCCCGCCTCTTGACTTGTGAAACAAGCGCGCCCGCAGTACACAGTAGCACGAAAGCACATGGTTAGGTGAAGGGTTAGGGTTGGGATCAGATTAGAGGGCTTCGAATAGTCGTTCAGGACCAACTAGAGATCGGGTTGAAAAAGTCACGTGACAGTCGATCGAGTGATTAATCATCATCTGTAAAGTGTAAGCGGTGGAATGAAAATTGGAGCGCTGTCCAGTAACCAGTAACTGTTTACTGGCCGGTGGCGTTAAGCCTGTCATTCCACCGAATCTCTATTATGATAATTATTATAGCCTGCATGGGGTCCCCAGCTAAAGTAACTGTAAGTACAAAATAATAATTTGACATACGTTGCATGCCATTTTTCGCGCGCGAAGCGCTTACAGGGCCGCGCTCAGCCTGTCATTCCGCCTTTCTGCTTTCACATAGCCATGTGTCTACGCGTACTGCGTGACGCGCTTGTTTCACAAGTCAAGAGGCGGTCGCGCGCTACTGCAAGCGAGAGGGCTCTGGTTAGAGCAAATTCCGCCTAATCTCTATTCTATGTTTATGAACATGATAGCCTGAGGCCCCCAGGTAAGCGAAGCGCATGCCGCCAAATGATGTTTGTGATACGCAACATGCATCAAGTAATAATATTTCTTTGAACAGCTTATATTAAAATATTAGTACTAAAAGTTTTGTTGTAGGTTTAATTTTATAACCTTCGAAAACGTGCGCCGAGTTGGACTCGTAGACAGTCTTGGAACAAATATTTTACGAGTATCATCCGTTAACTCGCTTAGTTGATTACAATTTACAATATAATAACCCCATTTATATAGCTTGCTACTTTGTTGCTCGCTTCTCTCACAGATAATAAATGTGAGAAGCTCGAAAAGAGGGCTGCTTATTGGCTGTAGGTTTATAATAACCTACCAAGACGCGCGCCTAGTTGTACTTGTCGACAGTCTTGAAACAAATATTTTACAAGTATCACCGTTAACGCATTGGGATTGGCGTGCCAGGTAACTTCGAAGCAAGCCTGATGAGATCGTAATACTAATGCTCTGCTTCGCAGAGCAACGATCTGCATGGAATTAAGGCATAAGGGTTGGCATCGTCAATGACTAAAGCAGCTACTTTGCGGGGTATGGTAATTTATTAGCGTGAGGACTATACTATACCGATACGGTGTACGTAGAGTATAATTTGATGTTACATGCAACATGGGGATCTAGGCCTTCATATATACATGAAACACATAAACGAATGAAGATATGGTGCATGGCGGAATGACAGTAGCAGCAAACAGGCTGAGCGCCGCCCAGTAAATTTAATGATATATCTATCCCAATGTTAAAAGTAAAACAATAGTGAATAGAAATTGACTGTGTACACAGTGGTAAAGACAGTGTCGTCACTAAGCTTAAAGTGTTCGCCATTTTAATTCAAAGGAAGCCAAACATTCCGACACCCATAGTAAAATATTATGATATACCTTAGGCTTAACCTGTACCTAGTGTCAAGTGTAACGATACCTTACATTGAATAGACAGACTATTGCAGTAAAACACGTTAAAGTTCTTTAAGTTTAAGGCCATTAAATGTTACACCACATGCATACGTACACTGTACAGCAAAGCCAACAAAGATTAATCATTAATGAGACTGATATCTGTTCTCGAATATGCAAAACTTCCATCTTTGATACATTCCTAGAAAATAGTATAAATCAGAGCAAGCTACCGGTTACCCCAGGCTGTTAGTGTCCATAGAAGCTGCGGCGGAATGACAAGCTGAACGCCGCCTAGTAAGCTACCGGCCCATCGAAATGGAGCATGTTAAAATGCGCAATTTTCAGTTGTTTTCAAAGAGTCGTTTAAAATATACCTATTTTTTAAATTTTGGAGGAGCGTCTGAGAGTTTAAATGTTTCAAACTCCAAAAAACCTCAATCGATGGCTGATGAAAGGACTTTAAAACCCTGCGTTTTTTATTTTTTCTGCTGTCAGGGAAACTCGCTTAATTCTTACGTTTATCTGTTATACCGCTATGAGAAATAATTGGGATATAAGATTTACAAGAACAACGTAGTAATTTTAAACTTGTAGCTCAAAAGTATTATCATATTATAAAAAATATCGCAAACAAACTGTCAGATTTCTTCTTTTTATCAATACCGCCGCGTCTACATACAAAATTTAAAATGATAGCACAATAATAGTGCACTGCATTAGGTAGAATTGCTTGTTCGAACTAATGCGATTCTGATATAGTTTGCGAATAAAAATCGACCCTTATCATTATCAATACTACAGTTACACGAAACATTGTGAATTATGAGCAGTTTGAACTGGAGAAATTCCCACATGGCAAAAAGGAGGGGTACAAAAGTACAAGTGATTGTACGGGTTAAACCTATGTAGTATCCTATATCACACGTCTAAACCTGACACTTCCTAGTTCAAGCTTATCTTTTGCCCGACAAAGTGTTATACCTAATCTCCCAAACGATCAAATCTGAAATGTTTTCAATCTTTAGAGTCCCCCTTTTCTTTCTCATAAACTGAACTAAATTTGGACACGATAATTGTCATGGGAAGAGCCAGGAAAACGATTCCCAGGGTCAACACCACACTGCCCACAAACTTCCCTCCCGGTGTTGAGGGTACCACTTCACCGTAACCAACGGTCGTTATGGTAACGATACTCCACCAGCAACCCTGCATGATGGAGTTAAACTGATCGTTTACTTCGTGCTCGACATAATACATGATGCTGCCAAATGTTACAGTGAAGATGCCCAGAAGGACGACTAGAAGTCCCAGTTCTTTCTTTGCGTGAACCACTACCCTTACAATCAGAATAAGGTCCTGTGAGTGCCGGACGAATTTAAATATTCTGATGATTCTGAAAATTCTGCACACTCGAAGGACAACGTACCGTTTGCTTTCGACCTCAGTCATCTCCATAGATTGGCCTTCAGCCGACATATCAGCTATGATCCCCACATAAAACGGCAAAATGGATAAAATATCGAGAATGTTGAAAATATTCTTCCAGAAGGAACAAAAGGTGGGCCACGTAAAAAACCTAGCGACAAGATCAATTGTGAAAAATGCGATAACGAAAGCGTTTATCCCGTAGATAGTATTGTAGTAAGGATCACTCTTGTCGGTGAAATGAATCTTGAGTCCGGGATCTGTTTCCATGATTAGAAAGGCTATTGAAACACAGATGAACATGATGTCCACCGAATGCCAGACTGTGGCTATCTTCGAGGATCTGGGATTCAGAAGGAAGTCGTGCACGGCTTTCCGTTTTGCTGAGATGGAATTGTTTTGACAGAGTGCTACGCACGTGATATCGTCAATTTCTGAATCTTCTATAGAGATAGCGTAGTCTTTCGTGAACGAGATCCTGGGAAATTGCTTTTATGACTTTACGACTTAAGTTGCTGCCAATATTCCCAATATTTAATGTTGATCGTGTCAATTAGAAATAGTTATTAAGATAAGAGTCACGAACAGAAACCATAAATAATTTCCAATCATAAATAATCAATTATCCAATAATGAGTTTCACGTGAAATAAGAAATTTGAGAAGTAATCTTACCTGAAGAAGGCTTTCTCCTCCTCCCACAGGTCCAAATCAGCAGTAAGAGGAGGATACTCGTCTCCGGTCTGATAATAGAGAAGAATACTCTCAAAACAAGCTCTGTTTCTGTTGAAGAAGTAAGCGTTTAACTCCGGACAGAAGTATCTCTCCCGTTCTGATGATCCGAGCAGAGTTTTAGGGAACTCCTCCAAACTTTTAAAAGTTGTTATGAATAACTCTCCACATACGTTGATCCTGAAATAAATAATGGTTAATGGAATAAACACACGAGACAAATACTGTCATATGTACATTGGCTGTTAACGGGTGATACTCGTAAAAAAACCGTCGACGAGTCCCACTCGGCGCGTGTATTGTTAGGTTATAAACCTACAACATTGGCTGCCACCTGTCCGCAGACGGCAAAATTCAAATATTTGAAGTTTTTATCACTCCAATAATCTCTATACTATAGTGCTTAAATTGCAAATATTTGGGAGACTCTAACTTATAGTTGATGTAGATGAGGATAATAACTAAGCAGGGATCACACTACAGCTTAAACCTTGCTGCTGAATGTACGGGTCATGGTATAATACGTTACTATACAGTTACTGCACAAATTTGGAATTGGTTGGTTTCAGAAATTCGCGGTTAAGCCAGCCAAATACAAATAAAAATCAACCCAACCATTACCAGACCAGTTGTATTCGATTCCACGTTCAAAAATACGTTTAGTAAAGTATGTTCAGAGATCTTAGCGTTCCGAGTTATCATTATCAGAGATCTCAACCACCAAATCTAAATTGTTGCACTTTAGTTACTAACCTTCTGGATTAATAACAACTATAAGATAATTATCTATATCACATTTGCATAGAGATGATAATAAATCACCCTACACTGGACGATCACGTGACTAAGTTTAACACGTTCTCTAGATGGCTCCGACGGATATTAGAAAACCACAACCCTCTACTCTGACCCCAACCCGATCCTTGAAGTTAATTCAGGCATCTTTTAAAACACCGTTAGAAAGTGAATTTGACGTACTATCTTATAAAAATATGGCCATTTCTTTTAACGAGAGGCTGGGCCTGAGAGGATATCATGTGGATGCCTTGCCTGCCTCTGGGGTAGGGCAGTCCTAGGAGGATGCATACTACATGGCCATGTCCCGTGATCAAAACAGTTTTTCGACGATAAATTGTCAGGGAAGCATTTTAAGCCTATGTCATGTGGACCGTGTGGTGATTCGGAATCAGCGTCCAAAAATACATCGATACTAGTTAATTTGAACTGCTAGGGGTCCTTTAAGAAAAATGTCGAAGCTTCAATGTAACGTGATTTGACACACTCCCTTGCTTACTGCTTAGTTCTACATTCCCTAACCTGAAGTACTTTTCATTGGATAAATGTTGTGACTATAAAGTTGGTGGCAATAAATTAGCGTATGTGACAGAGGAGATAAGATTACAAAAATATTAGTTTTGATCGAGCGAATCAGAGATCGCAGTTTTCTATGGTGTTGGTAGATCATCGGGTGATAATACATACATTAACTGACACTCATTGGTGATTGGAAATTACAACACTACAGCGGCCTTCGGCACTTGAGCAAAATTCCGAGAACATGCTCGTTCTTAGGGTTGTCGAGCCATTTCGTAATAAACAATCATCAAGCTTAGGCTTCCCCATAAATTCGTCATCAAACGAAAGATTCGCCTCTGCTTTATATACTCCTGTTATATAGAGTATATTGACGACATGTCCTGTGTCATCAACATCTTTGCCAGACCAGACCGATCTTATGACTATTGAATAACAAAAATATTATTCCTTGCAAATAACAGTGACGTACTAATTTTCAACGGAAACAATGGTTAACTCACCTGCAGAGGTCTTCAGCCACTATAATCGGATCATTGTGATCGGAGCCAGCCAGAGAGATAAGAGACTTCTCTCTGCTCTTGTTGCCACCGTTCACTCCCTGTGGGTCATCACTTGTCTGACTCACGTGATTCCTGAGGGGAAGGCATGCGTTAGAAAACAAGAAAGTAGTTGTGTTGTTGGGTATCTTTGCTGAGGGGAGAGTGGTTTGTTTTTGCAAAGCTTCGCTGATCAGATTTAAGGATTTTTATTTGGGTTATTTATGAGATGAAAATGTCCAGGTAGCAAGCTGTTGCCACAATGGAATTGGATATAAACAAATAGGTCAATAGGTGGGATTCCCAGGTATATTTTTTGACCATGAAATATAGAATAGTTCTCATGGAAATACAGAAAGTGCTGAGATTTTAAATGGAGAATGGTAAAACAAAAAGTGGATTTTTCTCAACAATGTTTTTAACATGTCATCACACGTCACAAGTATTTTCTAACTTTCCCAAAAATACCAGAACGTCCTCAATTTTCTAGAATATTTTGAACCTCGGAGAGCCAGTCGGGAGGCGAACCAGAAAAGTGAATAAGGCAGAAGATAATACGTGTTGACGGCGAGGATGTGTGAAGATGTAAAATGGTAGGCGGGCCGTGAAGCTTTATGTCCGGCCAGAACAGGGAAATACATTGTTGACTAATTTATTGCGCCAGTTTTTAAGAAAACTGCTGGCTACATTTAACACCTGGTAAAAATACTTTCCCAAAAATGTGGTTGAAAGCGTCTGTGATGAAGCTAGGGTTTAAGATTAACAAAGTTAAGATAAGGTTAACCTAACTGAATTATTGCAAATAAAAAATTCATATGTGGCAGTTTGGGATGATCTGAGAGTGAAAAGCACTCAAGACAGTACTCGTATCACGGACTGGTAACAAGATTCTCTTCCTCAATGAGAATAGCCAGGCATTGAGTTTGACAGAATTAAAATGTAGAAAAAACTATAAAAGGAAAGCAGTGAAGTGAAAGCGAGAACTCACTTTTTCGGTTTGGGTTCGTGTTTGTGGTTTCTCCACATCGATGAGGTAAAGCGGGGATTGGCCGTATAAAAATAGAGGATGAGTCCGGATGAGCCACGATTACTCAGCCGTAAAACAAAAATCAAAACAGAAACTCACTTGAACGGCTTGTGGTAGGGATAGAATAAAGCTTCATGGTCACACATATTATATCATCTACTATTCAGCTCAAAAAGCTCATTAGATAGATGAGGCAAACGAGGGAAAATATAGGAGTGTAACAATAAAGATAAGGATAATGTAAGAAGATACAAATTCGTGGAAATTGGATTAGAAATTGGATTATGAACTTAATGGCTTGATTGGATTTCGAGGTATCTAAATTTAAATTCCGATCATGACTGCTGTGCAATTTAAGCCTTTATAATTAATTTTGTAATAAATTTAAGGAATAACCAATTAGGATATTTCAACAATTTAATAAGCAGTACGTCGTACACAAAAAAATTTCCGAACATAAAACTCAATCAGACTAATTAATTAAAGTTGGGCCACATACCTTTCCAAAGCCATCATTTGTGACTACGCCAGTCTATTTTTGATATCAGATATGCCACTGACTAAAAGGAAATCAAACCCATTGACTACTTTTTGTCCAAGATAATTTTCTAACCCTTATAATTTCACTCACTTAGAGTTAGAATTCTCTGTTAAATCTGAAACAGTCCGAAAGAAGATTGGAACGTACATAAGTAAGCTACACTACCACAAATACTGGCGTATAACTAGAGCGACCAACCAGGACATGTAAATTACAGGTAGAAAGGTAGGTACAATTGCATATCATGACCGCAAATGTAGCCTTACATGATCTGCTTGCAGTTGGAATCAGTTGGAATCGTTAGATGGTTTTCAGGATCGTTACGTATATAATATGTTCGTTGGACCGGATGTAATATTTTAGGCAGTGCATGCCAGAGAAGATACGGTCAAACGGTGTCAACCTACTATGTCATATTGTCATTGTAACATGTTGATATTTTACTTTTCAAATGTTTTTTCCTTTTTGGTATTAACATGCAACCCGATCGTATTAACTAAAAACTCACTTCTCAATGATGACAGATGGAATAATGGCGATCATGTTCATTGTAGATCTAACTGAAAATCTTCGGACAAATTTAGTCAATTTCGAGTGTTAGCGATACGAGGTTGAGAGGAATAAAATTGTCAAAGAAAAAGTCACGACCTTGAAAATTCCATTTCAATCAATGGCCAAAAAATAACCAAAATAAACTATAAAGAAGCACAGAATATCGGAACTTCTCATCACTGGACGTTTTATTCTCAACAAACATCTCAACACCATGCAGAAAGTTTCCATCGACATCAAGTGTGATTCTGAGAAAAAGAATCGTTCGCACATTTCTTGGGACAATACCAAAAAACTCTCAACTCTGATGAAAATATTTTAAACGGTATCCTCTCTCGATAAGTAATATCTATAAATATTTAAATGATGACAGACGGGGGAATACTCCTCCATTGCACGTCCAAATTTTAACCTTTCATTGGAAAAATTTATTCAGTTTAATTTTGACCGTCAGGCTTTAAAGGTTTTGAAAGTTATTATGTTAGAAGAAAAGTGAGAACCGTTTTCCTGAGAAGGAGTAATGACTCATGTAAGTTGTAAAGTCAAGTTAATAATAAATAACTATAAGTTGCGAGTACCTTCCATACGTATCTCACGAGAACTTTTTAGTTTACTGGGCAGTTGAAAGTTTGAGTGAAAATTTGTTGTTAAAAACATCAACATTGTAAGGGGGGTACAATAGACCAATGTGATAACGTTTAAAATATTCCCATAGTGTTAGTGGCTGACAAGTTGTTATTCTAAAACGGATTTACGTTATCTCAGATGTTACCATAGCCGCAGATGTTTGACTTGACTTTTTTGGAGAGGCTGGACTAAGGACTTGGATGGCCTACAAATGGATAGCATGAAGATGTTTTGCCAACCTCTGGGTGTGGCAACCCTCCAAGGAGATGATGCCGGGAAAATCTTTGGGAAAATGAGGGGTAGAGTGGCAGCTGTTGAATGAGGAGGAATTATAAAATGCCCGGAAGCTGAGATGTTAACACCAATAGAAAAGGAGCAAAAACAGAGTGAAATAGATTTAAAGACAACCAACAATAGTAGTTATATGTTGGTTGTCGAAGATATCTTAGACAGAGAGGTAATAATCCTGAAAATATTGTCCTCTTACTCTCTTAGCTGAGCGATAGCTAGGCACTGTCCTAGAAAATGCGAGATGGTATCTGCAGTCTTCTTCATGGTCACATATATGACAGGCACTGGTGCTAGATTTACAGATGGTATGAAAGCGTTTCTAGCTTACCATCTATCAACTTTGATGAACATAATAATATTCTAAGCATAAAATTTTAAAACGTTGTTTTAAAAATAAATTCGATAGTCAGGTGTTTCAAATTTCTCAATAAATTCGCCATACGACTGGTTTTTTTTTCACATGCTTATTAACGAGTTTGTATATCTTTCAACACCATAAACAGGTGTTAGACGGTGGAAAGCTGCAGGTGGTTTTCTCAACAAATAGTAAATACACTTATAGAGCTAAAAATAGAAGTATTTAATTAATACTTATTATACTATTCGGTATCATGAGGCTATCAACAAACTTTAACAGGCCCAACAATTCTTATTGTTATATTTAGGTCAATTCCCGATTCTCTGCATGTTTCTTCCACCGAATAACCAATGATAATAAGCAATAATAAATCAATAAGAATATTCATGCAGAGATTCGTTAAACTTTAAAACACAGAATAATCCCCGAGGAGACTCACGTTGCTGAGTTACGCCGAATTATCATAGCGAAGAAGCAGCGGCACACTTTTAAGAACACTCATTCATATCTCAAGTAGTTCCACGTTACAAGACCGACAATCATCTGCTGCCTAATCACGATCAATCATTGCAAACGGATAAATTCGCGAAGCACAATCTCAAAAACACTCAAGACAATACGATGAATGAGAATATTACAGTAATCAATCAATATTCACATATAACAGCCGACTTTTTGTTAAAATTACACGAGTCTCAGCCGTGAAAGTCAGTGAGCACCGTTATGCATGTGCGTTGATAAGTACATCCAATATCAAACGTAAAATGATAGGTCTGCTAAACAATTGCGGATAGTCACAAGATATATTTTTTTAGAATGAAGATATATATCTTTTAAATAAAGCATAAGATGGAAGCTGATTGAGGTTTAGCCATGATTTACTCCATTGTATAAGCGGTTTTTGAACAAGTTTCCCACACTCGCACCACGTTAGCTCACAAAAAGATTCCTCAACAATTCCCGTCGGGTGGTATAAAATGTATTGTAAGTGTATGGTCATGTTAAACACGTGAGTATAACACCTGCTGTTAAAAATATACTTATCACATTAGTTCGACCCGTCGTTATAGTTGCAATACAAAGCACTACCACACAGCACAATTGTCGTGTTAACCAATTAAGAACTTTTCCCATAATTTTTTATAGAACAAAGGCACTGAATTTTATTCGATAATTGGACAGTTTAAATATGTTAGATATACGACAGATATCCGGACAAACATGATTGAAAGTCGCCGAACGATTGATAAGTAAAAGTCGTAAAGTACAGGAGAGAATTCCTAAAAATTGTCCACAAAATTGTGTAAAAAAGCTGATTCCACATGACTCACATTTGAAAATTAGTAAGCACGATTTCGGTTTAAGAGCTTTCCATGACACAGCTCAATCGTCATAGCGTGTGCCATCGCGCCGTTACAAAAAGAAAAAGAACATGCTGCTAGGGTTTTACCGTACTTTCTGATCCAAGAGGAAGAGTATCCAAACATCACAGGTTATAACTGAACCGAAAATGTAAACACAACCGGCTTACTAACCGATCAGACAAATATTTAACAAGTTTTTTCCAGGAAAGCGTCCGCTAATTCTGATTCAAGATTTACTGCAGCCAGGCGCGCTGGTATGCTGACTTTGTCTACCAGTTTCGCATTTTTACCACCAACATTTAGACTCATCGCCGCAAATATTTACAATTTATTTCA